TTTCGTACAGATTGTAAATTATAATAAAAGCAATATCTAAAATAAATACTTATTTTACCATTAAGCAGATAACTTTATAACTATTTTTAAATAATAACAAAATTTTCTTCTGTACAATATTATTATTGTACTGCTAAATGAAATAATACAAAATACAGTATGTCTACCCGACATGTATTAAAATATAGAAAGACAAAGAAATATAAATTGTACACACATCGTACACTCCACTCGCCAGTTATTGATTAAAATTATTAATCAGTATTATTGTTTAAATTAAAAAAAAACGGCCGACTATCACCTTAAAGCATTTATATGCCGAATATGATTACCAGGCGACAGTTCAACCTGCCACATATCGTTTGAACGCTCTGAAATTCAATCTTAGTTTCGTCTCACTGTTTAACAAATTTTGTCAAATAGTAATTACTTTTACGCTTATTTAACCTATTAATGACTACATATTTCTAAGTAATAAAAATTACAAGTTTTAATCTGTGAACATTTAATAGGTGGACAATCATAATAGTTTTAATTATTTGAAGTTTTTCGTGCATTTCAATACTGATACTTTTTTTGATAGTTTTGACTACCAATTGACAAATGGCGCAGTTGAAAATAAAATTTCTTAAAATATTTATTACGCGATAACAGTGTAATGTATCTTATCCTGACATTAATACTTGGTTTCATTAGTTATTATTCGACCATAATCATTCAAAATACATCTTGCGTCTAACAATTACGATGGTTATTTGAGAACATGATATGAAAGAAAGGAAAATGAAAGAAGAGAAGTTAAAGATTTTTTTTAATTTGTTAAAATTAAGTTAAATTAAAAAAAGTTACTATTAATAGTTAAAGTTAATTTGTAAATTTTTTATTAAATTAAGTTGAAAACTTTGTTGACAAAAACTACTTAACTTCATGAGTTAAATTAAGTTCATTCGAGGAATAGTAACTTTGCAAAAATATCATAAATGTAGGAGATAAAAAATGTATATGTGTATATGTAAATTTGCCCTTCCTAATTCTTGGAAGTAATTTTTTAGGATTGCTTAGGAAGTATGAGTCATTCTCGAACAAAATTGCCGATTCAACTAAATACAATTACTTAAAATAAATTTTAAATGGCCTTCTATTTTTATACGAAATAGAAGTAACGAGCAAATAAAAAATCCCAGCACAGTAGGGTCGCGACATAGTAGANAAATAAAAAATCCCAGCACAGTGGGGTCGCGACATAGTAGAGACGTTGCATAGTTGGATCAAGTATAATGATATCTGACAGTGATTAAAATCACTATAAAAAAAAAACGCTTCGATGCAAATCTTTAGATAGTGTTTAATTTTAAAAAATTGGTGTATTATTCATAAAGCTACATGATCTGCTAGTTCCTTATTAATATCCTGATTAAGATAAAGTATGTCGAATGAAAAACGGAGTATTAAAAAATATTATTTCTCATAAAAAAATTGTATTGATCCATACACTTTTTAATAAGTTTTAGCATAATAAAGTTAAAAATGTAAAATAAAAATTTGAGTATTTTCATACAAAAATAGCATTTGGTAGCCATTTTCACCGTGAAAACAAAATAAAGTCCGCAATTTTTGTTTTTCATGATAAAGTTTATTACATTAGATTTAATTTAAGATATATATAAAAGTGTCAGACTTCCGGAATACTTTTAAAAGTTAAGTTGAAAAAGTTGTCATTTTAAATCCCCCCCTGTGGGCAAATTGGGACATCATGCATCTATAAAAAAAAATTATATTGATTTGAATATTTTTAAAAATTTATAGCATTTTTAAGTAAAAAAAATTGAAAAAATGTCGAAAATTAGTGATTTTTAAATTCGTAATTATTTTGGAGATTTCTCCCATTTACGGGGAACGAGGAAATTTTTTCAATTTTTGAGGGTAATGTCTTCGACTAGATACGATTTGTGATCTTTTGACGTATCGNCTAGATACGATTTGTGATCTTTTGGCGTATCATTGAAAGAAATCGGTTCGGTGAGAACTGAGAAAAAATGGTAACAGACACAAAAAAAAATATACACATCTTAGTAAAACCAATTCCTTCTCAGCTTTGCATCGAAGCTAGAAATATTTGAATTTAAAAATTGACAATATAACAATAATAACCAATTTCAAAATAATAATATATTTAAAAATAATTATTTATTAAAACATAAAATAAATAAGTCATATTTTCGTTCTATTCATATACAAGTGTTCATGTACATTATTGTTATCGATAAAAAATATAGAGTGTTCAGAAACAAGGAAACAGGTCAATTTTTATAAAAAAAATAAGAACAATAGAAACCCGTGTCCTTATTTCTGAACACTCTATATTTTTTATGGATAACAATAATGTACGTGAGCGTTAGAGAGTACGTACCACTTAATTGTACTACAATTTTCGACCAACAGGTAAAATAGGAATGCCCTCCGTTATTATGAATAATGCAAAATACAAATAGATTTTGCAAAATTTAACTGATTTTTTTAATCTAAGTGAACGTTTTTGCCGTATACTTTTCTCGTCAAAATATTAAATATGTGTCAAATAAATGTTAGATAAACTGTCGAGTTATTTATTTACATAATAAATATATTAAATATTTAAATATTATAGAATTATAATTAATTAAATTATAGAATTTTATTATTTATTTGCTTACTACAGAGCAAATTATAAATTTATAACAACATTTTTGGTATACCCAAAATATATCTATATTTTTTTACGGTATTTTAAATTACTTGTAATTTTGAGTAAATCGATTTTTATTTATGGTATTTATCGATTTTTATAGTCATCTATAATGCTAGAAATATTTTTTGGATAGTTTAATCTTTTCTGTATTAATTAAATTAAAATTAGATAAATTAACTTAAGTCTCACATAGGTAATTTGTCACATCTTAGCAAAATATATGTAATACAAAAAGGATAATACCAAATTATTACCATATGGTAATAGTTTTATATAATTTGTTTTTTTTTTTTTATTGGAGGTTTAAATAGGACCTAAAATAATCAAAAAAAGAGTTTATAAAAAGTTAATTACTGGAAAATAGCTTTTACCGCTACAGATATTTTATCTGCATTATGATATTTATTTTATCCGAATAATATTGAATTTAATTAAATATTGAGTATTATAGTATAATATAAAAATACAAGGAGTTTAATCTGATCAAACACTCCAATGAATATAAAGTATTAATCCATCGTTGTCCAGCATTTAGGAGAATTATCTGTTATTTTTAATTTTAATTATAAAGTAAAATTATCAAATTAAATATTTTAATTATGAATACAACTTTTCTATAATCTTAGGTGAATAATCTAGTTCAAAACTAAATTTAACAATTGAATTGCAATTTATAATTGCAGAATAGGTATGATATTTTGATTATTACCATTATAATTTTTTTTTGTTACTATTTTGTACAAATCAAAATTTGTTCCAAAAATATATGTTCCTAATTTATTAAGTTCCATTTCTTTTCTTTCCATAATCTATTTGATTAATAATGGATTATGTTCAATGGATCATCCATTGAACTTTTGTTCAAATGAACTTTTATTCCACACATTTGTCGGAACAAATGTTAATGGGGACAAGAAAGTTGTGGAACAAAAGATACGAAAATTTTCATTTCGCTGTGGTAAGACTACTTGTTTTAGCAACGATACTAATTATTGGAGTACGGATTTATATGCACTTCGTTATTAAATTACACTATAGCATAGAAATATTATTCATTTTAGAAGAATAACCCCCTTAACTCACCAACAATATAATCTAGATCACATTACTAAGTGATGATGTGTTTGAGATGATAACTTAACAAAATTTATAAATGTATATAAATCCGGACTGTACTCTAATCAACTCTCTATCACTATTTAAAAATAAAAATATTAGATAAGAGAAAGATATTATTAATACAATTTAATTTATAAGAAGTGTAAAATTTTTTTTTGTTTGAGATTTTTTTTTAAATAATTTTATTAAATTATAATAATTTAAATAGTAATAATTCTGTAATAAGCCAGTTGAAATACCTATCTTTCCTTTATTGGCACTCTTTGACTTTAAATTTTATATGCATAAAATATTGCTTTAGTAGGTTAAGAATTAAAAAACGGTTAATTATCATTTAGATATAAAATGCTTAAAAATGTTATTGTTGAACGTATTTAATGTTTAAAATATATTTATAAGATCATTTATCAATAAACATACATACATTTCTTTATTGCAAAATTTCTGTTAACTATCATATAATTGATTTTCTAATATATTATAAAAATTTATAAAACAAAAAATTTACTATTAATTCTAATAGTATTGCTAGGAAACAAGAGAAAACCTTTTGTCCATATTATTTCAAATAATCTTGTGAATTTATTAATATTAACCTCGTTAGAAATCAAGTATAAAACACTTGATTTAATTTAAGATAGTATCTTAAATTAAATTTTATATCAATAATAAACTATTTTGTCAACCTTTAATTAATAACTGTTAATTTTAAAATTCAAGATGAATTTGGCAAAACAAATAATTTTATGACTATTTTTTTGAAAATGTAATTTGTTAAAAATTTAAAACAGTAAATTTACATTATACCATTGTTTAGTTAATAAAATACAAATATAAGTGAATCTTTGTGTTCCGGCGTTGAAATAGTTTGGCACATGTAGTAATCTGGCCCTTTTTTCTATGATTATCGAAAGCTCTCTCTCATTATATTTATGTACTAACTCATTCTTAGAACTCTAACAGGTATGAACTCTTTTTCTTAAATAATTTGTTTTTCAATTTATAATATTATTATGGAGTTGATTTGATTATAACATATAAAAAGTATAAAATATTTTGTATTAATGTGTTTCTATGTACCGTTAGATTATCAACTCTCATACACTTATAAAAAATTACATATGACTAATGCAAAAACATATTAAAAACAAAATGTTTTTGAATTTTTAATACCAGCTTATTATAATGTTACAGTAGATATTTTACATTATTAATGAGTAAAATAATAAAATTTGAGCACTAATGACTAGTATATATATATAATACAGTTTTTTATATTACTGTTAAAATATTTTATCATTAAGTAATATTCAAGACTTAGAATCAACAAATGACTTTAATGGTGGTCCAGTATAAGTAGCTGTATCACTCCAATAATCTTTAGGATCAGGTATCACTACTAGTTTTAGGTCATCAGAGACATTTACTTCTTTAAAATATCTGCAGTTTCGTTTACCTACATCAGGAATTTCAGTTCTATAAGGTGGAGCTAAAATATCAATAAATGCTGCTGGTCCATCAACTATATCAACTTGATGAATATTTCCTTCAGTTGGACACAAAACACATGGTTCATCTGATTCATTCACAATTAATGGAGGTAATTTGATAACATCTATTATACATTCGCTAAAAAAATAATACTTTAAAAATAATATTATAACCAAAAAAATATATCTATTTATTACTTTAGTTGATTATAGAGTGTTTGCTTAGGTGTATAGCTTTGTATTTTAACTTTTCCATGAATAACTTTTAAAACACCATACATATATGGATGATCATGTAAAGGAATTTTTGCACCTTCTCTTAGAACAAATATTCCAATAGATACATTATTATCTTCATATACTTCTATATAAGTGACTGGTGCTTTAACATGACAAAATATGGTATTTCCAGATAATTTATCCAAATTACAATTCAATTCTTGAGTATCCCATTTCAATAATCTATTATCTAAATTAATTGAACGAGCATCTAATTCATTGGCATTTCGTTTAAGTTTCACCAAATTATCATGAAAAGCTTTAGATGTATAAGACCCGGAAAAAGTAATCAAAGCTTGTTTGAGAACACATTCAATTTTGGATGCCATAGTTAAGAATAATAATTAAAGTCTATAAATAGTATTTTCTAATTAATGAATTACAGCAATTAGGAAATATTATTTATCACTAACATAATACGTTTTAAGACTATTAAAGAGATTAAATGTAAAATTTAATGTGATTTACCGTGTACACAACTTTTTCTATGTAAATGCTTTCTTTAAAACTACTTAAAGTTATTACTTGTTTTATAATATATTTACTAATCTTCATCCAGACATAAGAAGATTAACATACAAATATTTAAAAAGATATTTAAATTTTCGTTATCACAAGTATTTTATAAACATTTACAATAAACTTGAGCAAGATATTATCTTATCTATACTTAGTTTTATCAATCATCATTCCGCCATATTCAAAAAGAAAATTTCCCATTTAGATCCATCTCATGTCATTTATTGTTTCACACATTTAAAAAAAATTTCCACCTTGGTAAAATTTTTTAGCAAAAGACAAAGACAACTTTCCATGACAAGGATAATTTATAAAAGTACTAAATACAGAACCCTTAAAACTACTCTCATTTACAAAAATTTGACAGACGAATTACGAATTTAAATGAAACACAATAACACATCGTGGTTAATTTTTATACAATTGACTCAAAATGAGTATTTAATCAAATTATTTTAAAAGTTCAGCCTACAGGAAAAAAAAACTAAAAATATGTGTTGATTTTGATAAAATCTTAATACAATCCATGCAAAAGCATAGTAGTAAGAATATAAACATTCAATAAAATTTTCCAATAAAGTATTTGAACTATTTACTAACACATTATCAAATTAAAATATAAGGGTAATTTATTGAGAATTTTAATTAACAGATCAGGTAGTTTAAATTTAAAAACCATCTAAAATATAATAGTGAAAAATTTTACAAGATTTTTAAGAAAAATGTAATTAATTGAAATTCTCATAAAATTAAAATTTAACTGTGGTTGTTCAATTTTATAAAATTAGCATTACTAACATAAAAGATTAACTTTTGTTTGAATAATTAGATATTTATTTTTAAAGAGTACTTCAATGTAATTAAATATTTATTGGATTAATATAAAACAATGTAATTCAGGAAATTTAGTAGTAAATGCAATTTATTTGGGCTCATTTAACTTAAATGATAAGGTATATGAATACAATTTTTACAAAAAACATAAATACAACTACTTAAAAAATTAAAATTCACTTATAATAGCTATACAAATATTTTTCATTAACTTATCATTTAATGTATAAGTAATACTAATATTTATGTATTTATACATAAATATTAGTAATTTGAGATTTGTTTAAAAATTAAAACCATATAGTATATTTAAAAAAAAACGAATACAAAAATAAATTTTACTTTTAAAATTTTTTAATTTACACATGTATGAATTTACAAATTAAACTAATAGGTACAATCTAGGCATAATTAAAAAATCCAATCATAAACTACAAACACTAACACTATTTGACAAATCAACATTTCCTTTTAAAGTCTTCTTTTGCAATTTCTAAAACATTAATTTATTGTTAATTAAAGAATAATATTGAAACATTTATTAGTTTATACAAATAATATATAAGTCAGGAATATAGAAAAAAATTATTTTTTAAGTCCAAGAACAAAATTTCTAGCAATAAAATCCATAAAATAGAACACAAATCTTTTACTTTTTTTTGGAAATGAATATTATTGTATATTAAGTTTTTTTAAAATTATTATCTAATTCTTTTACTTTTATATTAATATACATTGGAAAAAGTACTAAATATGAAATAACAATTTTTTGGAAGGAAAATTAACTTTGAATTTTTTTTTATATGTATAGTAATATCAATATGTATATAGTAATATTTACATGTATATTAATATAGTTACAACTTCAGATTATAGAAAATTTTTCAATATTCTTTTATATTAAATCTCAAAAACAGGATTATAAAAATATTTTTGTATGGATAGTATTTATAAAAATAATTTTAAATATTACATTAGAAAAACATGTGTTTTTTTATTTGATTTTTCACAAGAAGATTAAATTGGTGATGCTACTAGAATCTATCAAAAAATTAAAAATTAGGAATATATAAACACATGATTCAAAAAAAATTATAAGTCTATATTAGTGAATCAATTTAATTTAATTAAAATTTAACTCATATAATAGTTATATCATACAATATTACAGAAATTTTATGATTCAGATAATTATGGTATACTACCAATATAACCAAATAAATTTGTTTAATAATTTATATCAAACTCATTTTTACAATTTTTTGACTTGGACAGTTTTTTACAAACGCCGTCAAAATATAAATCCAACATGAAAGTAGCTGAAAAAATTACTTTATTAAATATGTTAGCCATGATCTTATTAGTCATGTATTCTTCTTTACGTTTCTTTTCAATTTTTTTATTTTTAACTTCTGAACATAGTCTATACTTATTTTCTGTTTGTTTACGCATTTCTTTTTGGGTCATTATACGTTTGATAGCTAAAAATAATTAAAATAATAATTTTACATAAAATGTAAAAAAATATTTGGCAAAAAATGTAGAAATAATTCTTACTTAATGGATTTGGGGGAATCACATCTTCACTGTTCATCAACAAATAATCTTTTTTTGGTTGTTTTCTTTTTTCTCTTAATTTTTGTAGTTCATTTAAAATATTTTGCCTTTGTTGAGTTCGAGCTATATAATCTGGACGGTTAGCAACAAGATATTCCTTAAGATACAAAATATAAAAAACTTATTGTTTTATACATTTATAGATACTTTTTTTTTTTAAAGATGCTCAAGTTAAATTTTATCATTTTTATATTATTCATAACGTTTACTTGCATCAACTTTGTTAAATTATTTTTTATTTTGAAATAAATTTGAATTAATCCCGTATACCATTAAGTAAAAATAAATCGTTTTTTTTTTTAATGAAAAGTATTGTTAATTTTTTCAATTAATTTAATTAAGCAATTAAAATTAAATTTCATACAGTATATTTACTGTAAATGTACAAAATATAACATACTATTATATATACATCAATGTAATTTAATAATTATGATTCATAATTGTAATTCATGTCTGTTTTTTATTTATTAAGAAGCAATATAATACATTGTTCCTTAATAAATATTCTATACAATTTCTAAATTTTATAAGATAACCAATTTCAAACCAAAAAAAATAAGCCGATGCTTAAATAAATTTATTATATAAAATATTTTTACTTGTAAAGTTGATGTTGATGACACTGGTATTTTAGTATTTAATTGTGAAACACTTTTTAATATCTTTTTCTTTTTCATACTGTTTATTTGATCATTTGACATAAATTTTGATTTACAATTATCCTAAAACTGATTATTATTTAAACAATTACTTAATAATAATAACCATTTTAAACATACCAAATTGTCTTTCTGATTGGGTTTAAATATAATTTCATAGGTTATAGAGTGTTTAGGATCTATATTTGTAGTTCTAAATGGCTTGTAAACTGTGTATGTACCAGCACCAAGAAAAGATGGCTTTTTATCATCTTTTAGTTGTCCCGTTTTAAGTTTAACAGACTTAGATTTTGAATTATGCACCAGAACACCTTTTTTACAATACATATGGTGACATGCTGTACAAGATGATTCAGTTTCAGTACTATTCGACTTTGAAGAATTTAAGTATGACGTAGTTGTCTCAGTTTGTGTTGAGTTTAAAGTATTAATATTTTGTATAATTTGCTTTCTAAAAATAATTTTAAACTAATTTTTTTATAGCACAATTATAAAATATATTTTTAAATAAAAAAAAAAAAAATAACTAAAAAAAAATATTAATTCTAATATTTTTAAAATTTAATACTTTAATTAAATTACAAAATTTAACTAAATATTTTTTTTGTTTTTATTAATTATTATTAAGTTTATTTTTAGTAAAATAAAATCAATAATTAATTCAATTTCTAAGAATAAATAATAAAACTAATTACCTGAATATAGGTTTACTACTTATTTTTGGTTTTTCTTTGTAGTTATTCCAATTTTTTTTTAATTCTTTATGTGTATTTAAGAATCTAAAATAAGTTTTTGTAAATATTTATAACCAATCTAATTTAAACTGAAATAACTTTTTTTTAAAAACTAACTTATTTAAATTATTTAAGTGTTTTATTTCGTTCTTTATGATAGACAATTGATTGTCACATTGCATTTTCATAAAATTTTCTTGAAACTTCAAAACTTGTTTGTCATATTGTTTACTGGCATCACTGGAATTATTCTTGATTTTTGTTTCAGAATGTTTCTACAAGTATTTCAAAATTTAAAAACACATAAAAACTTTGGAAATATGATTTTTGTTTATGAAAATATTAAAAAAAAATTTTTTTTATTAAAATATATAAACTGTACCATATGGTACCAACCTAGAACTGTATAATATATATATAGTATCTTAAAATTAACTAATAATGCTTAAAACTTTTGATTCAAATACCATTTTTAAAAAAATTTTGAAGGATTTTTTTATTATTACAAAAAAAAAAAAATTAAATTAAAAATTTTATTTTTGTTTTTACATTTAAAAAAGCCATTATTGAACCCTATTCTTACAAAAAATTTTGATAAATCAATAATAATTTTAGGAAAAAATACTCATTGAGTTACAAATGTTTTATTACATTGAATAAGTGAAAGCGGATGAGCTTGTATTAGTAAATGTATACTCTACTTACGTTTCATACATTTTATAAATTTCAACAAAATGATAATTGTATCAAAAGTTATAAGCATTATCAGTTAGATCAGAGATATTCTATATAAATATACAATGCTATAACTATTATAAAAGTTGATAAACTTAATTTTTTTTTGAAATACCATGTTATAAGAATTCAAATTATTAATATAATTGAGATATCAAATTAAGTATAAAAATATTCATTATTTTTTAATCATAATTTTATGTTTATTCAATGATTTGACAAAAAGAATTATAGTACATAGTATTCAAAACTAATATTTAGGAACTCCAGTTTAATTCATAGTTTTTAAACTTCATTCAATAAAAATATTGTTTATGGTTATAATTTTGGAAATATATAATTAAAACAAATCATTAAACATTTGTTTTTTAATTTTATCTAGCTTCAATGAAAATAGAAAATTCCACCTGGTCTCGGTAACATTAGAATAAATTATATTCCTGTGAGGTTTGATTTCAACAAGCCTCCTTCTATTATAATAATAATAATTTTTTAACTATGGGAATTTCTAATATTGAAAGTTTGAACCACCAAGGAGTATTTTGGCAGTTGAATTGACCAGACATTTCCCTGTCAGGCCTCAATAGAAAAAATATTATAAGTATTAAAAAATTAAAAAAAAATCAGTCAATGTCAAAATATCCTTAGCATTCCAAAGATTCTCTAACTTTTTAGAAATATTCTGATTTCAGGTTTTACAAACTTTTGGCAGCTATATTATTTATTTAAAAAATGAAATAGAACATTTTAGTCCCTGTTAAACATTTAGTAAATTATCTAAAATGAAAAATATAATTTAAAAAATCTGTTTAGTCAGTTAATCTTTATAAAGGCCATTTTTTAATATTTAATTCAAGAATATTTTACAAGGTCATACTAACAGTTGGAGTTGATTTTTTTAATTTAGATTTATGCAAGTTTAAATGTCTTCCTGATTCCAATGAGGTGGTATCACAATACTTAGAAGTATCAATACCCTCACCATATTGAGAAGAAGTAATTGGAGATGTAAATGTCATTGTACTTGAATAGTTATCTAAAACATAATCAATTATTTGTGAAAAATTATAAAAAATTATAAAAATATGTTTGTACCAATTTCATTATTTAAAACTGTATTCCCCGTGTTACTTGTTTGAGGTGTAATATCTTGAATTTCACACAAATTAGAGTCACATAAATTTTTTTTAGGTAAGCTATTTTTTGATCCTAAAATATTTTTATAAATTTCTCTAAATACTTCTTTAATTTTTGATTTTTCAGTTAATCCATTTTGTTTCATGGCTTCTATCAGCAATTGTACACTTTCCTGTATTTCTTTATTTTCATTAGTTTGTTTACTGTAATGAAAAGTATTTCCTGGTAAATATTCAAAACTATTTACTCTATCTGTTGTAGTATTAGTGGAATCACAACATTCTTTGACTTCCCAAGATCCTGAAGAAACAACACTTCCAATTGTGCTATTAGAAGTTTTACCACTTTCACAGGATTTTGATTCATTTTTAGAACTAATATTAGTTTTTTCAACATTTTCATCTTGTTTTGATACTACAGTCGAATTTACATTGGTAACTAGATTTTTTTCTGTATCAGAGCAATTCATTTTTTTAACAACCGTAGACAGAGAAAAAGAAGAGGTCATAGGCGACTTATTTTTTGTCAGGGTATTAAGCTTTGCTTTATCAGAATCCCATTTTAATTGATCACATGACATAGATTTATAATTGTTTGAGAATTCCAAATTAACTAAATTTGATAACGAGTTGCTTTTAAGTCTAACAATATTTTGACTATTAAAATCAATAGGAGTTGAATTAGCATTAAGCATAAAATTGTTTACAGCCATACGTTCTATAGTACTTAGTTCTTTACTTTGTGCATTAGGAATTAGGCCATATCCAACATCAGCACCACTATCCCATTCTAGTGGTTTTGTAGAACAAATACTAGAGGGAGAAGACGCGTTTAAAATTTTTGGAATTTCTTGAAAACTTATATCACTATCTGTTTGAGATATATCACTAATTGAAGAATAAAACTTCACATCATCAAACTCCGACATTTTGCTATTTATAAAATTATTTCATTGTTTGTAAAAAAAAAAGTATACATTCTGTAAAAATTGAATAAAGAATATAAAAAGATCGTTATTCCTTAAACGTTATCATTTATTATTTACAAAAACACATTGGTTATCGCAAAACGCGGTATCTGAGGATATTCTCCTACACAGAATGTATTACTAATTTTTCACTAGAAAAACGTACATGAATTAATTTAGTTTTTCAAAATGTATTGTCCATTTATTTAATTCTATAGATTAAGTACACATATTTTTACTATTTGAAAAATATCTCGTTGCTAAATTTATCTCTCTTTTTGGTCAAAATGAGATAAAATGTATATTTTACGGTCAATTTATTTATTTAATGAATAATAATTAAACCGTTTTATTTCATTTTAAGCGTGAAATAAGTCGTCAATTTTACATTTGTAAACAAAAAATGCCTAGAATGCTTACAATGCTGTATCAATGACACAGCAATTAATTCTTTTATTCTTCTTTGAAATAAATAAAACTAAGATGAATTGTATTGCTATTTTAGAAATAATCTTAATTATGAATGAGTGCTAATGAATGTCATTATTAAAATTGAACTAATAGTAATTCAGTATTTTAACTTAAAGATGGTTTTCATAAAACTATTAAAATATTGTCGAAGTGGTGTTAAATAATTGTAAAATCCAAATACTAGTTACTAGTCACGCCACTTTTGTTTGGATTTAATAATAATAAACTACAATAAATATAATACAGATGACATTATAATTTCGAAGTTTAGGTCAGCATTTTATGAAAATTAATACACTGAGATTTAGTTCACCATAAGTTTAACACCCATGATATTTGTTGTGTATGGACCAAATTGGAGGCACTGAACGAATGGATTTCAAAGGTTGTCAGTGGAATTAGTAATTATTTTAAAAACAAGACATGATAAAAAAAATAATTCATTAAAATTTTGATTTTTATTAAAAATTTTTATAAAGTACAAAATTCCGTAGAATTTTCATCTAAACATTAAAGACAGCAAAATGACTAATAATAGCATTAACTATTTTCTTTTAATTTTTAAAAACTTTATATTTATTTAGACAATTGTGTAATTGTAATTTTTTTTTTATATTGTAGTATATTTTATCCAATTACTAAGTTATTCGTGTTATAACTAAGTTATACATAACTACATATTATAAGATCAACAATATTTTTAACTGTTTAAATAGTTTTTATTATAAATATTTCAATACGTTGTTACCATTGAAATCAAATTTGTCGAAGTATCAGAAAGACTAAAAAGGTACTTATCTTGTGCAAATTTTTACTTAAAGGGTTGTTAGGTACGACCGGAGCTAGAAAGTTATTAAGGGGACAGATAAAAAAATCTAATAAAATAATTATAATTTATATTAAACAAAATTACATCACCATATTTTTTTTTATACTCTTTTTATAATAATTAAAGAGGATATTACAAATGTTTTAGGATATCCTATTTATTTGAATCATTGAAGAATAAAAATACAAAGTAATTGCACTACAATTATAATCGCTCATGAGATAACGAGTAAATTTTATCAAGTTCCAGCAGGTAATCGATATTCAAAAGCTTTGCGTTTTGTTCTACTCTCATTCATATTTTTAAAAGTCTCCGTGATTAAATCAACATTCGACAGAGCGAAATAACAGAGCCTATAGTCCATACAGTACCTTATCTTATAACGGGTATGTTTTATTACTTATTTTTTATGACTTTATAGAAAGCATAACACTATTGCTAATTATGTAAATAGTCTAAAATCGTGCTAATTCATCAAAAATGTTAATTTTGTTTACGTTTACAGTCTAATTGAAAAAAAACCAGCACAGTGGGGTCGCGGCATAGTAGAGACGTTGCATAATTGGGTCCAGTATAGATTTAATTTGACAGTGATTAAAATCACTATCATAAGAAACGCCTCGATACAAATCTGTAGATAGTGTTTAATTTTAAAAAAATGATGGATAATTACAAAAGCAACATTAACTTCTACTTCCTTAATTATACCCAGATTAGTAATTCTTTTAATTATATATTATATAATTTTTAAAATTAATTGTTTTCAAATTATTATTGATTTTGATTTTTAATATGTTAAAAGTAATTATGTTGAGCCTACTTTTTATTGTCCTTTAAAGTGAAAGTTTTAATAAAAAAAAAAAATGAATTTATTACCATAACATTTAGCTCAATTTGCAATTTTGAAATTGACATTATTAAATAGAAAAAAATGAAATTGTTAAGATTAATATGCAATCGGAGAATTTTATAATTACTATTTACAGTACATTTGCGCACAATGGACCAACAGGTCTGAGTGCATGGGCATTATGTCCACCTCAATAATAACTACAGTACATTTATCAGAAAAGTTTGAATTTTTTTTACATTTTTATCGTAATAGATCACTTAAATAAAATAAAAATCATAGTAATCATTTCTAATTAACTTTTGGTGTTTAAAAAAATTCTACAATGGAAATATTCAGAATTTAATTAATTTTAATGATTATATATCTAAAAAAAACCAATAAAAAAAAGTTATGAAAAAGATTTACTCAATTGAGCATATTATAAAATTTGACTATAATTGTTAAAATCCATCGTTAAATTCAAGTGAAACTATAAATCATTTTTTTTTTTTAATTTATGATTTATATAGCAACATGTTACAAAAAAATTTGGAATATTATAAACTGGTAGTAGCACACACAAATAGAGTTAAAAAATTAATAAATTACAAAGTAAAATTATTTACTTTTGTAGTTGAACACTTTTATCATATCAAATCTAATTCGACAATGAATACTTTAAGAATATTAGAAATTAATGATTTTAATTGTTTGTATGGAAAAAGCTGATTAAGCTACTTTTTATTTGATTAAGAAATATTTTTTCGATTTTTAAGATTAATAACTTAAACTAAATACGAATTGTAATCATTTGACGTATCGTTGAAATAGTAGGTCTAGTGAGGGTTGGCAAAATAAATCGTAGCCACAAAAAGAACCACATAGTAAAATAATATTAACATGAATATAAATTTCTTCTCACGAGGGGAGACTATAGTGATTGGATCCTTTATATTTATTGAAGTCATTGAATCTAAATGAAATAAATATCAAATTATTTGAAAATTTTATTCTAATTAAAAATAAATGCAAAATATTAATAGCCACAGATGGATTTGAAACTCGTACCGTAAGCATAAAAAATACAAGTGTTACCGACTCGGCAACGGTTCATTGCTTTCGTTGTTTAACAAAATTAGCTATTTAAGCTAATTCAAATTTAAAAATTACTTTTTTGACTTGAAAAAAATAAAAAATTTTAATAAATTTAGTTTCTTATGTCTTATGAAATTTATTCTATGTCAATTAAATTATAAAATATTCACGAAAGTCAGTGTATTGCCCTTATAAGATATTTTAAAATAAAATAAAATACAAAACCCAGGATTTTAACACAAAAATAGCATATTTTTGAATATGGTAGCCATTTGCGCATAGAAGATAGGTCGTCGAAACAAATTTTTTTTAGCTTCGATGCAAAGCTGAGAAGGAATTGGTTTTACTAAGATGTGTATATTTTTTTTTGTGTCTGTTACCATTTTTTCTCAGTTCTCACCGAACCGATTTCTTTCAATGATACGCCAAAAGATCAGAAATCGTATCTAGTCGAAGACATTACCCTCAAAAATTGAAAAAAATTCCCTCGTTCCCCGTAAATGGGGGAAACCTCCAAAAAAATTACAAATTTAAAAATCACTAATTTTCGAATTTTTTTTACTTAAAATTGCCATAACTTTTTTAAAAATAACCCAATCATTATAATTTTTTTTATATAGATGCATGATATCATTACCTTTTATTTGGTATTTTTTTTTTTTATATGTGACCCTTTACTTGCCCACAGGGGAGATTTAAAATGACAACTTTTTCAACTTAATTTTTGAAAGTGTTCCAGAAATTCTGACACTTTTATATATATCTTAAATGAGAGCTAATGTAATATACTTTATTATGGTAAAAAAAATTTCGGACTTTACTATGTCTTCACGGTGAAAATGGCTACTGTATGCTATTTTTGTGTTAAAATTCTCTATTTTATTTTTTACATTTTTAACTTTAAAATGCTATAACTTATTGAAAAGTGTATGGATCAACACAATTTTTTAATAATCTCTTTTACATTCGACATACTTTATTTTAATCAGGATATTAATAAGGAACTAGCAGATCATGTAGCTTTTGGAATAATCCATCAATTTTTTAAAATTAAACACTATCTAAAGATTTGCATTGAAGCGTTTTTTTTTTATAGTGATTTTAATCAATGTCAGATATCATTATACTTGATCCAACTATGCTACGTCACCACTATGTCGCGACCCCCCTGTGCTGGGTTTTTTTTATAGTCCGTTTTATAATTTTATATAATGGAATCCAGATTAACAAGGTTTTACTGCATTATTATTAAGTGGTTTCTGATAGCAATATTTAACATTAATCTATACGAATATACATTATCCCTGGATATGTTTAATTAAATATAAGTTTGGATATCAAATTTTTTAATAGGAATAAATTTAGAAAAAAATTTTTATTAACTTGCCATTACACAAATTTGTCAAGCAGTAAATTTTACCAAGATAAGGGAAGTACAAATTATTTAAATATTATTTTGTTAAAAAAAAGTAATACATAAATACAGAAAATGTCCTTGCAGTGTATCAGAAAATTTACCATCAAATGTAATAAACTTAACTGAAAATAAATAACAAAACAACTTTTTTTAAATATTTTAATAAATATAACTTCACAAAAAAAAAAAAAAAAAAAAGTAAAATACCTACAAGAAATAACATAATTCACTTACATATCTATTGTGAGGGCAATTAAAAAAATTTGATCACCTTATTTCAAACAATAAAATATTTATGAACTATTAATAATTAATAATAATTTAACAACTTACAAAATTATCTCAATAACATTTAAATTCATCAATTATATTCTACTTTTTTTTAAGATACATAAATACGGAAAATATTTTTTATTTATTCATAATGGAATGTACATGTGAACTGATGAAGAATGAACATAGAAGATATTTGAAATCCAATTGTAAAAGTCATTTCTACAAAAAGTATAATGATTTGTAAAAAAAAACAATTGTTTTTTTTATATTTTAACTATCACCTTTATTTATATTATTTTGGACGAGAATCTCTTGGGTAAAATTCAGCCAATGTTGATGCTGGTACTCTCTTCAACATTTCTTTGGGGAAGATACGCAATAACTGCCAACCAATATCTAATGACTCAAATACAGTGCGATTCTCATAGTTACCTGCAAAAATGTAATACGCCATTTATGTTTGTCTAAAACTTTTATGTTTTCATTACCTTGAGTGATGAAATTTTTTTCAAACTTTGTCAAAAATTCTAGGTATAAAAGGTCATCAGGTGTTAGAGCTTCTTCACCAACTACAGCTTTCATGGCTTGAACATCTTTACCAATAGCATAACAGGCGTACTAAAAATAAAGAATATATAATATAAATGAAATTTATCAGTTAATGTTCAAACTTGTTTAAGAATACAGCCAAATTTAAAATTTTGATAACTAAGAATAATGTTATTTAATTAACCCAAAGATTTCAGTAAAATTTAGTTTACATTAGACTTTTTTATTATTAATTTAAAAAATAAAAAGGTTTTTTCGTAATTCAAACACCAGGTTTCATCCATTCTCTAAGTACAGTATTAACCAAGGTTTAATAGATAAAATTATATTTTTTAAAATAAAAAATTAGATAAATTTGCTTCTCAGTTTCTTTATACACATAAATTACATTTATAGTAATTACATAAAAATATTTTTGAATTTTAACTCCTTTTAAAACATATTTATACCTCACTCTCAATTGATTCTTACAATCTTTCTAGACAAATATCCAAACATTTTTCAGTCTACTATTACAATCCAAATTTTAACTCGAAGTCAGCATAGTTTAAACTTAATCGATTGATATTAAAAAATGTTGTAGTTATTGATATATATATATATTCTAACATGCTAATATTTTAATTAAAAAAAATTTTTTTTATTAACATACCAACTGATTAGATACATCTGAATGATCTTTTCGAGTCATACCTTCTCCAATAGCAGATTTCATTAATCGACTAAGAGAAGGCAATACATTAATTGGTGGATAAATTTGTCGATTATGTAACTGTCTATCAACATAAATTTGGCCTTCAGTTATATATCCCGTTAGATCGGGAATAGGATGAGTAATATCTAAAATAAAGAATTTTAAAGATAATATGTCAAATTAACAGTTAAATAAATGTGTTATAGCTTTCATGGAGTATATTATTTAGAATACAATAATTAAATTATAATTATAATATCTTCGTAATAAAAAAAAATTATTTTAGCAATGAGTTTTAGTTATTAAAATAATCAAGAATTTATAATGTTAGGATTGGGTAAAAAATTTTAAGGGAAATCTTTTTGGTTTTAGTTCAACATATGTTAGGTCCAGTTGAATGTATCAAAAACTATAAATTTAATATTGATAACAATGAAAACTTAATATTTAAAATTGAGTAATGTTTCTAATATAAAACATGAAAATTAAGTTGGTTCCATGTACAAGTACTAACAATTCTTTTAAATTAAATATAATATAAATAAAAATATATTTTAAGTACCATGAATGTTATTTTATAACACACTATTATATTAATTCAAATTCTTATTTTATAAAATGTCATTTTTAACTAACTTATATTAACTTAACTTAAAAAGTTATCTAATTATAAGTAGATAATATAAATATGATTACCATCGTTAGGCATAGTCAAAATGGGTATTTGAGTTATAGAGCCATTTCTGCCTTCTACACGACCTGCACGTTCATAAATAGTGGCCAAGTCGGTATACATATACCCGGGAAAACCTCTTCGTCCCGGTACTTCTTCACGTGCAGCAGATACTTCTCGGAGAGCTTCAGCATATGAACTCATATCAGTTAATATAACTAATACATGCTTTTCACATTGATAGGCCAAAAATTCAGCAGCAGTTAGCGCTAAACGAGGTGTAATAATACGTTCGATAGTGGGATCATTTGCCAAATTTAAAAACAAACATACATTTTCCATAGAACCATTTTCCTAAAATAATAAGTTTAAAATTACATTTTTAAACTTTTTATTTAATTTTTTTACTAACAAAAAATTATTTAAATGTAAACTTTATTATTGAATCATAAATATTCTAGAAAAATATTTAAAATAAATAATTCAGTTTATTGTAAAAGTACAGAGAAACAGTACAATCTTCATCACAAAATAAAGAAATTTTTTTTCTTAAAATAAAATATTACTTAATTATAATTATATAGAATAGGGAATAATGCTTAGAAATCTACACTTTTATATTCTATATCATATCAATTATAATGTAAAATATTTTTCTAGAAGAAAATTTTATTTAATTTCTTGTTCTTATTTTTTTTTTTTTTTTAATATAACTACCTGTAATTTTATTTATCACACTTATTATTTACCTCAAAGTCTTGTTTGAAAAATCTAGCAGTTTCCATATTTACACCCATAGCAGCAAACACAATGGCAAAATTATCTTCATGGTCATCAAGTACTGATTTACCAGGTTGTTTTACAAGACCAGCTTGTCTACAAATTTGAGCAGCAATCTTAAATTAAAATAATCAATATGTAGATTATATATTTAAAAAATTTGTGACAAATAATCAGGTACTATTTATCTATTTCAAGTAGTTTAATCTTTATTTAAGAATTTATTTTAAAAAAATTGTTCAAAATACCTTAATAAAGTGTTTACTCCTTTGAAGGACATAATTTTTTGAAAACTCGATTTATTAAGAAAGTGATTTTAAAATAAAAAATATATTATAATATTTATATTTTTAACGTCATCACAATTAAGAAACTTATTTTTTTTATTAGAGAAGACATAAAACCTGTTTAACCCTTGTACTGATTTTTAAGATATGATATTGTTAAATGAAATAGTATATCATATCACTGTACGAACCTCATTATGAGGTAATCCAGCTGCAGAAAAAATAGGTATTTTTTGTCCTCGAGCAATAGAATTCATAATATCTATTGCTGAAATACCAGTTTGAATCATTTCTTGAGGGTAAGTTCTAGAATAAGGATTAATAGGTTGGCCTTGAATATCTAGATAATCTTCAGCTAAAATTGGAGGTCCTTTATCAATTGGTTTACCACTGCCGTTAAAAACACGTCCCAACATATCTTCAGATACAGGAGTACGCAAAATATCTCCGGTGAATTCACAAAGAGTGTGTTTAGCATCAATACCAGATGTGCCTTCGAATACCTAATATAAAAATAAGAACTTTATAATTTGTTACAGCTATTAGTAACTAGGATCTGTTACTCATTCAAAGTGTTTAATTTATCATAATTTGAATCTTATATTTAAAATAGACCAACACCTCTATGATGAACATTAAATAAAAACCTATACACAATTATTGTTGCTACCAAATATCAAAGAATATTGAAAAATATAATAATTTCATATCATATAAAACAAACATTACCTTTTAAAAAATAAACATATTATTTGTTAAAAAGTTTAGTAAAAAAAAAAAGATGCAAACAATGCACAGGATATAAGTAATATCAGATATTATTTAAATACTAATCAATGTCATAAATTCGATGGCTTAAGCTAAATTTAATTATAAGACTCGCCCATTACATTGGTTAAACTAGAACTTTAAACTCCAAAAAATGTATATCTTGGTAAGCAAAGAAGCAATATTTAAAAATATGAGCTAATTAGAATAAAATAGTTACTTGATAAATAAAGATGTAATATTCTACTTTTCAGAAAAATTATTTTAATAGTGTACGTACAACAATAAAAATTAATAGTAATTGATAAATATTATTATGTTATTAATGTAAAACACATCTTTAAATAATTACAAACATTGTTAATTTAATTATTTATATTTACTTGTACAACAGCTTTAGAACCAGAGACTTCAAGTACTTGACCTGATCTAAATGTACCATCATGAAGTCGAAGTTGAACAATTTCTGCATATTTTGGAAATTTTACTTCATCCAAAATAACTAAAGGACCATTCACACCAGAGACAGTTTTATATGCTACATAAAAAATAAAAATAGGTTGTAATAAGTAACTTTATATTTTTGGCCACACCTATATAACCCTTTAAATCACAGATTCAAACTAAATTTCTATTTCTATTACATCAAACTATTAAACACAATCAGAAACTATAATACAAAACTATTTAAAATATGAATGTTTAATTTAACATTATTTAAAATAAAAATTAAAAACTTGCAATTAGCTTAGTTAAAATGTTATTTATACAAAAAATATATAGCAATTTTTAAAAACTAATTATTTATTACAAATTAAATAATCTTAAAATAAATAATAGAAAATTTGATAGATATTTGTTTAAAATAAGTAAATAAATTGAAAAGCAAGATTCAAAATCAAAGTAAAGACACGCCCTAAACTAGTCAAAAAATCTAAATATTCTTACTTAGACGTGGCTGTGAAATAAAATCTCTTGATACGGCTAAAACATGTTCTTTGTGTGCTTGTTGGGCATTCATCGTACCAAATGTTATTCCTTTACAAATGCACAAGAAAAAATAATTAAAATCTTTCTTCAGTAACTAAAATGTGGTACCATGTAACTCTTACACAAACTTAAGTAGTGAGTGCGACATGGATATTTTCCCGACGCCCATTGCTAACAGCTGTTTCTTCTACTAAATTTCAAGGATTTATCATCAATTACAGTTTGATAAAATTTATTATTGTGAATCTGAGTTTAAATTAAAATAAAATCAGAATTTTAACAAAAACTTAGTTAAGATTAATTTATAAAATTTAATTCAGCAGAAAACTATTAAAAAAATAATTTTTATAAAACATTATTATTTAAAAATTAAAAAGTTATAACATTTTTTATCTTGTCTCGACAACACTGTTTAGCTTATCTATATAACCGTTATCATAAAAACAAAACTTTAATTTTGTTCATTAAAAAAGTATATTATATTGTAAATTTTGTAGTTGAATTTTGTATAATATAATTTATTTTATTTGCGTTGTACCTATTATTTTAATGATTTAACATGGTTTGGTCAAAATAGAAAAATTTTTCCTATTTTACTACATTTTTTTTTTTGTTAATATTTTATTATTGATAAAAATGGACAGTAAAGAGCAGTTAGAAAAAAGAACATTAGACATAATAATCAAATGGAATGGAAACGAATATGATATAAAAAACTTTGATACATGCAACAATGTTATAACTTTAAAAGAACAAATTTTTATATGCACTGGAGTTCGTCCTGAAAGACAAAAGCTTATCAATCTTAGATTTTCAGGTCAATTTTTATTTTGTTCATTTTATAATTTTTTTTTTTTTTTAATAAAACTTATTGTTAATTTATGTTTTGAAAAAATAAATATTTTATCTTTGATAATACTTAAATTAAATTACTTCCTTTTAATTGTGTTATTTTTTATATAATTATGTCACAAGGATGTAGTATTGAGTGAGTCAATTGCTAAAATTTTTCATTTTTAAAGGTTAAGTTACAAAAATGTATATACCTTTATTTTCCAGCTTTGATTATAAATGTATATAAGTATTAATCAACGTTACTTTAAAGTTAATTTAAAAAATATAGTTGATCCTTTATTTCATATAATTAAATTATTATAATAACTGCTATAAAATAATAAAAATTGGTTATATATTACTTTAATGTAATTTAATAGTTCAATTTAACAAACTATATAAATTGAAAAAAAGTACAATAGTATTTATAAGGGAGGATATATAAGTTGGGGTAATAAGGGAATAGTTTTAACAAATTAGTAGAAATCTATAAAAAAATGTTCATATAATAAATTACATTTATATCCATTAGAAAATAGAAATATTTGTATGTTCATAACAATTATGTAAATATATATGTATATTTATTTACTTATCTAATGTTTTTTATGAATTAAATTAAATTTTAAATTGACAGTTTATTTATTTAAAATATTCTTATATATTTTAGGTAAAATGGCTTCAGATGATTGTAAATTAAATTCTATTGATATAAAACCTGGAACTAAAATTATGATGGTTGGTTCTAAAGAAGAAGATATTGCTGAAGCAACTGTTGTTCCTCCCAAAAGAGAAAAAGGCCGTAAATGTAAAAGTTGTGATTCAGAAGATTTTGATGAAGAACGCGTTGATAAAATGGATATTCACTTAGCTAAAGTACAGAATAGAGTTGATAACTATGAGGTATATGTCAACAATTTTATGTTTCATGTAATTTAAATTCTTAATATATCATTAATATTTTATTTTTTAAAGATCAAAATGCTTAATGAACCTCGTCCAGGTAAAAAACTTCTGGTACTTGACATTGACTACACATTATTTGATCATCGATCAGCAGCAGAGAGTGGATTAGAACTAATGAGACCATATCTTCATGACTTTTTAGAGTCCGCTTATGAAGTAATGTTTTATAAAACATTAATAAGAAAACAATTTGTACTCTAAAAAATAAAATATTAACATCTTTGTAATAATTTGTACATTTAGAAGAAATTTTAAATAATGTTAATTCAAAAGCTAAATGTATATAAGAAATTTAATATTTTAGATTATTACAAACTTTTTGTATTTTGATATCTGATGGTATTTTTACAAAAACCCTGTTTTTATTTTAGAGTATATGCTGATTCTTGAGTGTATACCTTGCATATAAATAGTACATATTATTTACTATTTAAATAATACATATTAAGTATTATTGTTCTAGGGTATGTATTAATTAAAAAATTGTTAGTGGATATACAACGTATATACCCCAAAATAATACTGTTGATACTTTAAAAAAATAAGCAATTATAGAATTATTTTTTTTTTAATTGGAATTAACTGACAATGTGTTTTATAATGTTGTGGAATAGTAAACATAATCTTATAGACCAAACAAATATTTTTGATAAAGTCTACTATAAATATAGTTTATTTGTTAAATTTCAAAATATTAATCTAAAATTAATATAATTACTTAATTGTTTTTAAATAATGAATTAAGTTTATTAAGTTTAAAACATGTGAAATAGTATTGTTGGTTTTTATGTATTGTGGACCTCAATAAAAATCAATTTTTTTTAAAATGTCAGTACTATAGTATGATAAGTGATGAATAATTTTAATTGATACATTTTGTATTGCAGACTAAAACATTTTTAATAGAATTCAGTTAATTTTTTAGAATTATGACATTGTTATTTGGTCAGCAACTGATATGCGGTGGATCGAGCGAAAAATGGCAATATTGAATGTAGCTAACAATGGTGCATATAAAATAATATTTTATCTAGATAATGCAGCAATGATAACTGTTCATACACCTAAGTATGGTGTAGTCTCTGTAAGTATATACATATAAATAATACATCAATATTAAATAGTATCAGGAATGTTAGTATAATAAACATTTAAATTTATATTTTATCATGATTAATTATATCTATCATATAATCTTATTCAAATGTTTAAAGAAAATCAATTGCAGCGAGATGTTTTAATTACTAATTATAAAGCTTATGCAAAAATAAAATAATAATTATTATAAAATAATTGATTTATACAAACATTTTTTAAAAATAAAATAACATAATTTTATTATTATATTAAATTTTCTTCAATTACCTGCTGTAAAATCAATGTTAAATTTGATTTAATCAAATTAGCTATAGTACACAGCGCCGTAATGAGGGTACTGATTAAATAGTCTCAATGGAGAACTAAATGAAAGTTTATAATAATTTTTTCTTTTATTATAAATAAGAAAAGTTTGTTTACTTTACAATTAGCTAAAATTCTTTAAATTGGGGAGTATGTATTTAAATTTGCCTAAGTTTTCAAAAATTCTGATTACTCTGGTATTATAATTTTCAGTTTACAAGTTCAGATAAAGGTTAGGATCAAATTCTCAGTTTTATAAAATTAAAAAACATAGATGGTATAGACATAATATAAATATATCTGTTAGACTATGCTATAAAATACTTTTTAGATATTTTTATCACTTTATTTATATATTTTTTTTAAATAGTTTAATATTGTAGTCAAAGTTTTTTTATAGTGGCACAATAATAGGAAAAAGTACAAATCCGTTTCAAAACTTTTAATTAACTTATTATAATATTGATTTTCTTTGTTTTTTTATATATTTTTTTATTTAGAATAAATAACAAAAAAAAATTATAAAGAACTAATTTTCAAATTCAATGCAACTTTTTATGATTTTCATTTTATTAATAATGTATCACTTCTAGGGTAGAACAACAGTATGAAAAATAACTGGTAGAACAATGAAATTAAATCTTAATAAATCTTAATTGTCTATTAAAGAATAGTTGCATGATTGTTAAAATTACTGGTTTTCAATCATGTGTTAAAATTTTTAATATATATTATGAAGAATTATAAAATTAGTATTTATGTCATTATTCCGTTGTAAAAGCGATATGTTATAATAAAAAAAATATATGTTTTAAGTGTACTCAATAAATACCTATGACAACTACTTAAGTTTGTTTTTCTTAATTTTTAGGTAAAACCTTTAGGTGTTATATGGGGAAAATTTCCTCATTTATATAATAAAGGTAACACAATAATGTTTGATGATATCCGTCGAAATTTCTTAATGAATCCAAAGAATGGTTTAAAAATACGTCCATTCAGAGAAGCTCATTTGAATTGGGAAATGGATAAAGAATTACTTCATTTAGCTGAATATTTAGTTGAAATTGCAAAACTTGATGATTTTACTAAACTCAACCATAGAAATTGGGAAAAATATATTAGGAAAGCTCAACATAAAAAAGAAAAAAGACATAAAAAAGAAAAAACTGATAATAATGAATCTCATCCGCCCGATTCACAGCCAAAATTATGATTATAATAAGTATTAAATAATATCCTTTAAATTTGTCTAATGTAAATATATAAATATATGTAAACATATTTGTTTAATTAGTACATGCATAATTTGATTGTAAATTTTGTCTAAAAATAAATGTATTAAATATAAAAATACTTAATACTTAAATAACATACTTTAACTATATCATCAGATTATTGACTATTTATGCCATGTAAATATATAATGCATATTATATCGGTGGAATTTTATTTCAAAAAAATTATCTATATTTTATCTAGTTTTTATATAAAATTAAATATTTTAAAAATGATTGTAAATAGTTCACTAATATATATATTTGTATTAAAAATATATAATATGTAAGCAAATTTTAGATCATGAAATTTTTTATCTATCTCTACATCTCGATTTTAAGCCCCTTAAGAAGCAGATGATGAATTTATACTGATTATAAGTCATTTGTGAAAGCCATAAGGAGTCCTAGGATTTATTTTGGTAGATAAATAACACATCTTATTGGATAGGCATTTTTCATTAGTTATATTACACCTCTATAAAACCATCTTAAATTAGAACAGAAAATATATTTTTTAAGTAAACTTAGCCAAAGGAAGTCAATTTTAAATAAGTTCTTATAAACTTTTTAATTATCAAAATCAGGGCTGGATTAAACGGCTAAGGGCATTTCGGAACCCCTTTCAAAATTTAAGAGGTAAACTGTTAGAAAATTATGATTTTTTCTTTTTGATCACCAATTAATTACTTGGGCGGATATTTTTTAAGAGTACCTTTCTATAACTCAAAATGTCTTAATTTAGCCCTGCAAAAAAGTGACATCTTGCACAATTTTTAATGAGACAATACAATTCACAATTTTTTAAAAATATTACAATAATTAAATTTAAGGTTCTTCTTATGCTATTTTGCAATATGATTAAACCAAAGTTAAACAACAGACGAAAATATGCAAACCTCTTGCGTACCTAATTTAATTTGTAGAGATTACTTCGGAACTGTTGTTCCTACCCCCTCCTTTTTTAATCAATGCCTATATAAATTAATACGTTAAATAATCATTTAATAAATGATTCATTATGAAAAATTGCATGCACCTAATAAACTTGTCATATCATTGTTATTACTAATTTATTAATTTTTAACATGATCGAACAAGAGATAATCTTCTTATAAATTTAAATTTTCTTTTGAAATGTAAACACTTAAAGATACCGGTTAGAATTGATAAAAATGGTTTATCAGATAGCCGTATTCATGCAAACCACAAGGTACTAACAGTATTCTTTTTTTTTAAGGAATTTTAACCTCTTAAGTTAATGCAAACATTATGTACATTTCTATAGTCCGGTCTCCCACTCTTATGTTAAGATTTGAAATTTTGTTACATAAATTATTTTAGTTTCAAAGTTCGTCTGCTAAAAGAATTGTTATTGTAATTAGTTGTTGCTAAGAGTTGAGTTTATTTTAGATAAAGTCATTTTAAATGAGTTGATATTTACGTTGTGTCAATTTTACAATTTTTAATCATTTTTATTTAAAATTAAAAATTGATCATTTTTTGGTAAAATATTATAATTTAGTAAATTTTTGAAAAAAATATTTCAATAATATTTATATTAATTTACTCTATTTTTTTAAGTTGAATAAGAAACTTAAAATATGAGTTTAAGAACTAGTAACAGTGATCCGAGGTCAAAAACTTTACCAGAAGAACACTTATTATTACACGAAAATATCAGTAAAAATGGAAGTACGTTGCCAACCAAATCTACAGCTAATTCTAAAGGTAAAATAAATGGGACTGTTAATTATAATTCACTATGAGTACTACACTAGTGTAGTAACTCAAAATATACCATATTAATATGTGAAAAAATTTTTCATTTTCTGTTATTGATAAACATTAATTAGTATTTTGCATTTAATTTTGTAACTGTGACATAATACAAAATGGCATTAATTAGGAATTGTGATTTTTACCATAAGAAAACTGGTTTTAATTAGAGTACTCACAGTACGATATATGCTTATATTCTAATCTTTTAAATATCCATATAATAGAAAACGCTGAAGTAAAAAAATCTAGTTATATAATTTAATTAGTGTAAATATGTAATATTAGATTACTAATTTAATTCAATCATTATATTATAATATTTGTACTAATTTCTTATTGTATTTATATTCATCATTTTTTTTTTAAATTACTTGGAATAATTATATGGAATACCTTATAGAATTATAAACTAAATACAATTTTATAATCATTAACAGATCTCATATGTTCATGTTGTAAAAACACAAAATATGCACTAAAAATAAAATATTATGCTTTAAGATAAGTATCAAAAAATTTCAAAAATTTGTACTTAAACTACCAAATAGGCAAAAAAATTCTAAAATATGCATCATAAAAAAATCATAACTTAAAAAATAGTAAGAAATATGTATCAATATTTTTATGGTAGTGATAATGCAATAACATTATTTTTATTTTATATTTTATGTATCCCATGCAGTCATACCCAATTAAAAATAAATTAAAAATACTAATAATTTGTAAATATTTTCAAAAATAAAAATAAAAAAGTGTAAGAGCATATAATTATATTATATTTTTTCTATATTCTGTCAGAAAATGATTTTACTTTATTTATAGAATATAATATTTGCTAATAAATAAAACGAAAATGAGTTTGTAATAATATTAAATATTAACTTTTTGGATATTTGTTTGTCTTATATCCAAATTCTTTCTATTCCTAGATATTGATTTTATTCTATAATGTTATATGTGCTCATTCAAGCAATAATTATTATGAAAAAACTTTAAACTTCTAATAAGAATAGAATAATTGAAGATTTGTTGGGGATATTAAAGTATGTTAGAAAAAAAAAATTCAGAAGATGCAGAACACTGAATAGAGCTTATAGAAATCAGTATATGTAGCTCAACCTGTTGGTGACATTAAGTTCTGTCAATTTACATAAGAAAATGATTTTGAAATGATTGTAACATACACTGATATCCCTGATGGTTTTTTAATTTTAAGCATAAATATATATTCACTGTTACTACTATTACTAAAATAATAATCAAGGCTTTAATAATTTAACACTTATTCAAAACTGTACTTAATAATAAAGATTTGTTTAAATAAAGTCTTTAAGTGTTAATTAGTAACTAATTAAATTTTGGATTACTCCATTATCATAGGCAAAATTTATTTAATGTTTTGAACTTAATTTCATTCTTTAAAAATATTTCAGTATATATGTTTATATGCAATTTTCATCATTTTTAGGGACTAAACCTCCTCTAGAACTACTCAGATTGCGTTATGTCCATCATTAGGTTCATTAAAAAAAAAATCACTTTATCTAGTTAAATGTTAGCTGGTTAAAGTAAGAAATTTAATTTTTCCTGGTTTGGCTATTATTGACATTAGCTAAACTTTAGCCACATATTGTGTAAATTGGCCAATTACTGATTTATGTTTTAATTAATTAATCAAAGTGGCTCAAAGAAATAACATTAAGTATTAATAAATATTATTTTGGATTAATAAAGATACAGATTTGCATGTAGATAACACTAAGCTCTTAACTGTGAAATCTTTGATCTTTGTCTTAATATTTATAAGGTGCAACAACGTACTAAGGAATTAAACATTTTAGCAAGCACAATACTTCTACTTGATAAAACAAAACATTTTTTGCAAATTTGTAAATATACAATTAAAATTCCAATTTTTTTTTTTTTTTTTTTGTAAAAAATTTAATTAAATATTTTAAGATTTTGATTTATTTCTTAAGAATNCCAATTTTTTTTTTTTTTTTTTTTGTAAAAAATTTAATTAAATATTTTAAGATTTTGATTTATTTCTTAAGAATCAAATTAAATTTTAAGTAAAAATTATTATTTTCAATTAAATATTAAAATTATGAGATGAATTCCAAAAGACTTACTTATTCACACTCAATTACACTGTTGAAAAAACTTATTTCTAAATAAATTGAGAACAAATAGATGTGTGTAAAACATTATCAACCAAGTATAAAGATATTTATCGTGAATTTTTTAAGATGATACTAAAATGGCAATCATAGGCTATTTGTGTTACATGAATAGCTTTGCTTTGCACACTCATCTTATTTATTATAATTATCAAATTATTAAAATTAAAAAGAGCTTATCTTTTTTTTATTAATACATAATGAAAAAACTAAACAAATATCTATTTTATAAAATTGTGCAATTTTATACGTGCTTTTTATGATTATTTTACTATTTTAAAATTTAATATGAATAAACACATTTTTCTTAGTGTAATAAAATAGAATTTCCTTTTTTTATAAATGACAGTGCACATTTTGTATAAATTACATAATATGTAATCCAAACTTATAAAATTATGTTATAACTAACTAATTTTATTATTATAATATATAGAATGTAAATCATTTGTTGATTTTTTTAACTCTGAAAATTTGGAAGTTTTGCTGAGTTACTTAATGAAAATTACCCAAAACTACAAAAAATTCTCATAAAATTCCTTACTAAACTTACAACTAACAAACTAAGGGGGGAGTAGTGTATCCAGAAATTTTTAATTGAGGAAGGCTAATATTGTAAACGTTTAAGATGACTTTTTGGCAAATTTCGTGTAAAATGTAGGTTTAACACAGCTGAAGTATGAACCCTTTTGAATATTTTGCTTTAGATTACTCAATTTTTTTCTTAATGTTTTCATTTTATCTATTATATTATCACTGGATAAATCAAAATCAAATTTTTAACATTTTATTTTACACACTCTAAATTTTTGTTTTCAATTTTTATTTAAATATATCGTAAGTTATAGTAAATTTATTTATTAGAATATTTATTAGATAAGCTAAAATTCCTAATAAAATTTAATATAGTTAACTTAATTGGTAAAGTTTTAAATCTATAAATAATCTCTTTAGTATTTATATTAAACTTATTCATATCTGAAAAATTTAGGGTAGTTTTTTAAAAAGTAAATAATATAATACATTTTTACAATATAAATAAATTAACTTCCATTAGCATCTTTATATTTCTAAAAATTTGAAATTCTTAATTTTATTATAAAATAATCTTAGTGAAATTTTAATTGTATTTATGAAGTCTTGTTAACATTGAGGTTAATAGATGTGTGATATGCATTTCTAATGTGTTCATTGAATGTTTTCATTATGTCAATACTACCATTACATAACAAAAAAAAAACAGTTTTGAATTGAGTTTCTCACTCATAATTATTGTCACTGTTGACACAGTTTAAAATGTTGCAGGAAGTTCTATTTTGTTTATTTGTTTTTATTTTTAGTTAACTATTAAATTACAATATTTATTTAATCATAGGCAATAATTAAACACTGTGTCAGTAGTCAGTATTAGTATTACACTTTAAATTTAGATTAATCATATAATTTATAATAAGATAATAGTAATTTAAATTAGTTTATACAATAAATAATTGTATTGAGGTTTGTAGATATTATTAAAAAAATATATATGAATAAAACAGGTTTAACTGGCAACATTTGTTACAATTACAATTTCACTATAATTGTTTTTTTGTATATTTTAATATTTTTAGATTACATTACCCTTATATTTTTATTTTTAATAATAAAAAATAATATTTTAAAGTTTTTAATTTTAGAATAAATAATAATTAAGTTAAAAACATTTTAATATATAGAGTATATGTACTAAAATGTTTGTGATTCAAAAAGTAACTTATTTTAAAGTTCTCATCAAACCATCAAAACAAAGAAAAGAGTTTAAAATTAAAGAAAAAATAATGTATTTTTAATTTATTTCTTATTTGAGACAAATAATAAAAATATGCTTTTAATACAGTTTATAACTATAAAAATTATTTTTTTAAAAGTAACAAAATGTTTATGCATCCTGTATGTGTATGTATACACATATAAATAAGTTAAATATTGTGTATTAAATTTTGTAACATTTTAAAATTTTAAATACGTCAATTTAGTTATATATTATTGAAATCAAACATTTTTAGAAAAATATTTTAAAAGAGAATTATTTTTGATTTATTCAAGATTGATATTTCCGATTATTTTACCAACATAAATACAATTTGCCAAACTGTTTATTTAATGTAATTTAAAAATGTGAAGTTTTTATTTATAAGATTCATATTTGATAATGAGCTTCTTCATTTTTTTATTTTACGTTGTAACACTTGTTAAAGTAATTAATGTGAATTGAAACTTAAAATGTTTTCTGGACTAATGTCATTCACAATGGATTTATTTTGTTTCAATTTAAAAATAATTCAAATTTCTTTGTTTTAAACATTATTATAATCGAAAATTAATTTTATAGTTTTGCTAGAACTACTCTTTAAGTTGAAATAATGATTATTACATAAAATAAATAAATCTGATTAAATTGTAATTGTATAGTAAATGAACGAATCTTTAGTTACTTAATTGGACTATAATAGAATTTATTTGTTTTCAATTAATCTATTACATTATAAAATAAATTCAACACACAATTAATTATTCTGTTTTTTCTCTGCCCCATCCCACATTTCCATGCTTCAATTATATTATTTTTATTGTTGCCTTCTTTAAAAATCTTTTGTATGTACTAATTTATCCATCCCACCATTTTGTCAATTATTTAACCTTTCTTTTCATTAAACAATCTCTATCTTATTTATTATTGTACATTGTTATTCAATAGATGTTTATCAGCTCTATGACTTCATTAAAAAACAGAATTGTTTTAGAATAATGCATATGTATAATTTTTTTGTACAAAATAGTTACTGGTAAATATCATGTGATTATAATTTTTATGATATTAAATTATTCTACTTGGAAGTTTTCTTTAAGTATTAGAAACTGAAACATGTTTAAATATAGTTTTTTAAATTTCAAAAATTAGTATATTTTAATGTAATTAAAATTCATATAATTAAATAATTATATTATATGTGCATACTACTACAAAGATTATTATGTTCATAACTTGTTACTTATAATGTTAAATTATGTTATTATAATTTATGTCATTTTTAATGTTTAGTGGGACAACCCTTTAAACATAATTCATTTACAAGTGTTGCAACTGAACCTTTGCCAGTTCGTTTAACTCCAGCTTGGGAAGAAAATAATTTACCCAACGACGAACTTAATTTTAAAAGTTTTAACATGGCTGAAGCTGAATTAGAGACTGATCCACCAAAAGATAGGTAAGTTATTTAAAGTAATTCATAAAAATCTAAATATATGAAAATTTTTAATTAAATTTTATAATAATTTTTAAAAATATACCAAAAATTAAAAATCAATTTTACAATTAAGAGTTTTATAGCAATGTTGAAATTTAAGCTGAATGAATTTTATAAAAAAAAATGATTGAATACATTTTATTGAATTTAAATCTCCTAAAAATTTTGTTCATATTTTGAATGGTTGCTTTTTGTATAATTTTGCACTGCATAATTTTAAAAGAGTTTGATTAAACTTTTATTATTATTTATTAAAATAATTTCAGTTATTACTCTTAAAAATAATAAAGCATTATTTTTTTGCCTATTTATATATGTGCATTATTGTATTTTTAGATGGAACATAGTATATTTGATTTTAGTTCTTCATGGTATTGGAATTTTAATGCCTTGGAATATGTTCATTAATGCTAAAAGTGTTAGTAAATTCAATACATTATTAAATTACTATTTCAATATGTAATCATATATAGTTAAATTTACTACTTAAAGCTTAAAATTTTTCAGTATTTTGTTGATTATAAACTAGGAGAAGAATATCTCAATGGAAAGTTTCATTATGCAGCTATTTTCATGTCATATTTAACTATTTCTGCACAACTTCCCAATTTATTATTTAACTGGTTAAATATATTTTGTCCAATAGGGTATGTTCTAATTAATTTATTAGTATAATATTTATAACATTTGTTTTAGTTTATAGTATTTAATGATTCATTTTTTCAGTTAGTGTTTTATCAAAGCTAAAACATTATAAAAATTGTGTTGAACATTTTAACGATTATTTATTTCTATAAACTGTGCTATATAAGTCACTTTAAATAGAATAATTTACATAATTATATTAACATCAGCACCGGCTCGGGTTGGAAAGGCTGTAAGGACAGTTGCTCCAGTCATCGGGGCTCTGAAATTATAATATTACTGAACTTTGCAAATTTTATTTACTAAAATTTAAACATGTATTACAGTGTTATAAAATTTCTATTCATTTTGTATAGGAATAAATAATTTAAAAAATACAGTACTTATATTTATTTTATTAGAATTAAATTTTTGAGTATTTAAATATTAATGTGTTAAAGTAATCAGTGATGTGTCCAGGAAAATCCCCCTATATTAAATTTTTAGACATTAATTATTATTTAATAATAAGAATTATTTAAAAAAATTTCAGGGGAAAATTAACAACACGCATAGTATGGTCTATACTCACAGAAGTTTTATGTTTTGTCTTTACAGTTGCTTTAGTAATGATTAATACTGCTCATATCCCAAATATATTTTTCTGGGTAACACTTGGATGTATAATACTTCTTAATACGGCAAATGGTATTTACAACAATTCTGTATTTGGTATGGCAGCTAAATTACCCCAAAAATATATTGGCGCAGTTGTTCTTGGAACAAATTTAAGTGGTACACTTACTTCATTAGCTGATATAGCTTCCCTTACAGTTGCTCCAAATCCAAAAACAGCTGCTATTTATTATTTTACTACAGCTTTATTTATATTACTAGCTTGTTTTGATACATATTTCGCCTTGCCACTTAATGTAAGATAACTTTTATTATTATTATTTGTGAGAATAAATTTTACTGTGTCTTTCTCTCATTTATTTCCAGAGATTTTATAAATATCATGAACTTATTTATCAACGACAAATCAATAATAAAGAGTCTAAACAAAATAAGAATGAAAGTGTTCCGTACTGGCAGATTTTCAAAAAATCATTGCCACAACAGTTCAATATATTTTTTGTATTTTTTATCACATTGTCAATATTTCCAGCTATTCATTCAGGTATGATATTTCTATTTAAATTTTCAATAGTTATTAATTTTAAATTATTTTAATTTCAGATATCAAAAAGTCTGATAAAAATTTCTTTATTTCGGATAAATATTACGTCAGTATTATGTGTTTTTTGACATTTAATGTAACGGCACTTGTTGGATCATATCTTTCTACATTATTTTCATGGGTAAGAGATATTAACTAGTTTTTTTATTATTTGATTGTTTCTTTACAAACTTTCCTGGTAAACATATTATATAAAATAAAGATTTCTATAGTATAAGGCAATGCCTAAATTAAAATCTTTAAAAAAAATTAATTACTAAAAGCCTTCCCATTTGTTTTTTTTCTTCTTTCAAATATGTTATTGCTCATTTATAATTTAACATAAACAAATTAGTAGTAAACAAACTAAAACGAAAATTGTAAACAGCCCTTGGAAACATTTTACATTTAAAAGACGAGTTGTCAGGATATTTTTTAAATTTTAGTATATAATATAAATTTTAATTTAACATATGTTTAAAGTTTAGTATATTTCTGGGATACTTTTAAGTTGAAAAAGTTAACTTTTCGTGCAAAAGTTGATATTTTGAATCTTTTCTGTGGACAGGTCAAGGGTCAAATTTTCATAAAATTTATACCAAATAATAAAAAAATTAATTGGATTAATCCATTAAACTAACACCTTGGTAACTTTCTAATAACTTGATTTCAATGAATTAAAATATAATAATAATTAACTTGCTTCTTTGATTGTATGTCTTTATAAACAAATAAAGTGAGAAATATTACAAATATTTTTTTTAAATTTAAGATGAAAATTAAAAATATTGGACCGATTGATCATTTAAATATTTGATTTAAGATTTAATCTAGATGCTTTTTTTTTTTTTTTGTTTACATTAAAAAAAAAACAGTTACTATCTTCATATCCAGAATTTAGAATTTTACACATAAAAATAAAAATTATTTAAATTAAAAGTTTAATAAATCATTAATCATTAAATAATTTAACTGGTGACATATTTAAGCTATATGATTTATTAATTTTGTATTATACGTTAGATTTTAATTTATTTTATTTTATTAATGTAATAAACTGATATATTTTTCAGCCAAAACCAAAATGGTTATATGTTCCAATATTTTTAAGAGCTCTGCTTATTCCATTATTTTTAGTTTGCAACTATCATCCAAGAGAAATCATAAGGGTTACACCAGTAATAATAAATAATGAATATGTTTTTTGGGCTTTGGGAGGAATACTTGGATTATCTAGTGGTTATTTCAGTTCTGTTGCAATGATGTATGCTCCAAGGTAAACTATATTTGTAAAATACTATCATTATATAATATAATACTGTTTTTAGAACAGAAATATTGAACTAGTGAACTTATATACCACTATATATATACAGTCATTAAGGTTCAGTCACATTAGACACTATTAGCACTTATTAGTTACTCTAGAGTTTAATGGCCACTGTGACTATATAATCTATGATAAAATTTAATTTTTTATTATTAAGATGACTAAACAGAATTTTAGAGTTACGTTAATCTATAATTTTGTGCATGAATAAAATAATAATTGTGTGTGTAAATTTATGTATGTTTCAGTTGTGTTGAACCTAAATATAGTGGTGTTGCTGGTATGTTTGGAGCTGCAATGATAATAACTGGTATTTGTTGTGGTTTGATTTGTGGAAATTACTATTCTTTATTAATTACAAAAATTAAATGGTAAAAGTACAAAATTATTATATTTTTAATAATCAAGTTTTTTGATTAACATGTACAATATAATCTTAGTCTATCACTATATAGTTAATTATATTATAAATATTAAAACATGTATGTATTTTAACATGATATTTATGTGTACTTATCTTAGGCTAAAACAAAATTATATTTGACCACTAGATATAAAGGTATGAATTAATATGCGTCTGTTGAAGTCTATAATTTGTATTATTATAGCATTAGGTTTCTAATTAAAATTTGAACTGCTAAGTTATCTTCCAATTGATAACTGTTTTTAAAGACTTGTTAAAAAATTATTTAGTTTTTATGTATGTATATATACTGAATATTCATTATAATAACAATTATGTTTAAGATAAATTTTATATAATTTATCTTAATTTAATTTATATTGTTGTTATATATATATATATATAGTTTAAGCCATAACAGATATTAAATAAAATACTAAAATATTCAAAACATTTAAATTTCTAATTTATATATGACTTGTTTATACTGTATCTAGTTATCCTTTTGCTAGTATGTTACTAGTGTAGATTTTAAATTCTTGTAAACATTTTAATGAATAAACATATTTTTTATAATCTTGCGAGTCAAAATTTATTTTTATTTTCCATTATTATTATTAAAATTTAAAATAATAGTTCTTATATAAAGAATTTAAGAAAATGAGTATTTTTGTTTAAAATATTTTTTTATATATTAAAAAAATTAACATTTTTAATTGCTTTTAACTAAAATTTATTAATTACTTTGAGTTTTTTAATAAATAAACAGTAAAAAAGGATTATGAAATCATAAAATATATAAATAATTATCTAATTATAATTAGTACTTAAAAATAATTGATTAATTATAGTTATTGTTAATTTATTTTATTTTTTCTTCTTTTTCCTCACCTTAATCCCAACTACTTGGGTTCAGCCACCTTAATCCTAAACTTGACACAATCTCCCACATCATCTACACTCACATCAGCTGACCTTATATCTCATCCAATTATATCTCCATCTCTATCTGATACCTCTCTCCTCATAACATGATCATATCATCTAAGTCTATTTTCTCTCATCTTATCTACGATTGACTTTACACCTATATTCCCTATTATATTTTCGTTCCTTATCCTATTTTCTCTAATTATTCATCTAAGCATTCTCATCTCTGCTTTACTTTCTTGTCAACAACCCAACACTCAGAACCATGTATCATAGCTGGTTTCACTAGTCTTATATAACTTGCCTTTCTCCCTCATTGAAATTCTCTTTTTGAAGAATTCTGAATTTTAAGTTATTTTAGAATTTAATAATGAAATGCATGATTTGTGAAAATTTATTACAAACTTTTTTTTTTATGATATTTACAGCGTGATCAATTTATCATATACCATTCGATTATTACTCAGAATATAAATATAATTTTGAAAAAAAAAAATTTTAGTTGTATATTTCTTGATTTATTAACTATTAATTACTATTTAGGAACATTCCTTATAACATATAGAAGTGTTAACTTTATTTTTTTAAATGGTAAGATACATAATTAATATATATTGAGGAAAAAAGAAACTGTATTCAATAAAATAAATTCTAAGGACTGTAAAATAATGAATATATTCAGGAGTGTTACAGGGCATCAAAAATAGATTAATACGTCATTATTTAAAAGCAAATTAATATGGTTATTCATTTTACATAGTATGATTAGCCAAACCATCTATAGCAAAGACTAGTATAATTTTTCTATGTTATGCTTTTTTTCATATGTCAAAATACGCTACGGGGATTGTTACGAACTAATAATATATATATATATATTTATTTATTTATTCATATATTACACTTCTAAATCATAAAACTTTTAATCAGAATATAAATAATGAAATGGGAGATCATGTAGCTTTTGGAATAATCCATTAATTTTTTTTAATTAAACACTATCTACAGATTTGCATCAAAGCGTTTTTTATGATAGTTATTTTAATCACTGTCACATATCATCTATACTGGACCTAACTATGCTACGACCATGACAAAATAGATCTATTTTGTCATGGCCACGACTTCACTGAGCTGGGTTTTTTTTTATACCTATAACTAATGGTATATTTAAAGTCAAACCCCCACCACAAGCAACCACGTTCCACTACTGATAACTGTTATTGTTTCTTTCAAAATAACAGTTAGTTATTTTCTTTAAAAAATTGTTATCTTTGTATAAAACTCAGAATAACAGTGATAAAACTGTTTTATATGTTAAAAGACTGTTAATAAAATAAAGCAAATATTTAGTCTATAAATGACTAACATTAAATATTTATAAGCAATTTAAATTTAAATATAGAATTACTCATAGTTTAAGGTTTGTCATAAATAATGATTCTTTGGAAATTGAATTTTAAGGAAAAAATAAAGCGATTTTGATTGATAAATGTGAAATAACATTTATTTTATGATTTCTATATCCATTTATGTTAGTTAATCGGTATAAACACTGTATATATACATTCGATTATGTGTATTATTTCTTGGTAATATCTTTGACAAATTTTATACTGACTAAATATGAATTTATACTTATTTTTTAGTAAACTCTTATTTCTTGCTACATTGTGCATTACAATGTTACACTGAAAGTTATAATTTCTAACTATTGTGTTGTAAACAGTATACATTTATTTAAACTTTACCACGTTTTATGTATGTTGTGAAACAAGCGTTACACAGTTATTAATTATTTAGTAGGTTTTACATGGAGTGTTTACTTCCAATGATTGAAGATCTTCATTTGCCTAAGAGGTTGCTCAAGTTTGATATAAAAGAGCAAAAAAAAAATATCAAAATCAAACAAAAAATAGAAAATATTTTTAAATTGAAACTTATTGGAATGCATAACCGATCAAATTTTTATTAATTATACTATATATATAATTTCAAATAAAATGTAAAAAGAAAATTTAAAACTTCTATCAAACATAACAGACAATTGTGCTAAAAAGGGAATACCTTTAATGTAGTAAAAATGGCGCTTGAATAATTTGTACCAATAATTGACTTAGCCGATATAATAAATAACGTATGTCTTAATTTATTTACAATACTAATAAGCGATAAATAACCCAACCGGACTGTCTATTAATAGCAATAATTTGATTAAATTTGAACCACAAATTCAAATAACACAAACAAACTGAAAAGTTAAATATTATTTTTAACTTTTTAGTTCGATATGCTTTAAAAGAGTGTTTTTCAGTTTTTTTTAACTATATTTATTTTTCGCTTTTTAGTTTTTATGACATTGCTGTTACAGTCACGGAGTGTTTATTGTCAATTGTCACTATCAATAGATATAATTTCTGTATGCGCCCAGTTAGTGTGTTTATATACTCACAACAATGTGTCTTATTACCATTGATAATAATACCTGCGAATATCGTCATAAAGAACCAATTAGCTATATGTTTATTAACTCGACAAAATTTTAATCTTTAAATGTTTATATCTAATAATTGACAATAAAAATTTGTCAATGTATATATAATATTGATGATACGCACGCATGTACGGCTACGAAAACCAAAAATAAAACTATACAGGAATAGTGTTGCCGGCGTTTGGTGAGCGGGATGGGGTGAATGCGTTAGGACAGTCTAGTCTCAAGGCCATAGACGACGGGATACGCGAGAATAATAACACGTGGCGCGTGGAGAGTTACAAACAAACTTACATACATACATGTGAAACTAATATAAGCGTGTTAAAAACGGCGACAAATTCAATAAATGTAAGTTAATAAGAAAACTGGCAACGTGTTATATTCATAAGCGTTAAGAATTATTTCAACGCTCTATCCCTTCTAAGAATACAGACTTATGAAAGCAACGTTGTCAGTTTGTTTATGAACTTACTCTCACGGGACACGAAAGAACGCTAATGAGTAACTATTGGTAAAGTAAGGATTCCTTCCAATTTACTATTTGACCACCGAGTTACGTTCTCTCGTACAATATATTCATAGTCACATTTATGCAGAGGTGTTGTGGAGCGTATACGCGGGTATACGGCGTATACCCACTTCTTTGTTTTTCTGTTATTGCGTATACTTATAAAATCATGAGTGATACGCGGGTATACGGCGTATATCCACTATTAGTTTTTTTATTAGTGCATATACGTATTTATAAAATAGTTAAAGAGTATAGACTAAAGAATAAAATAAAAAGTAATACGTGGGTATCGAATATAGGTACGTTTGTCATAAAACACAAATTTTGAATAACTATTATCAGTTTGTTTAATCTCTACAGTCATACCACATATAAACATATACCTGAAGTTATAAACATACAAATATGGCTCGAGACTATTATCATTTTAAAAATAGAATATAAATGTAAAACAAAAATAAATAAATAGGATAATGTTTATCATTTCACGACAATTTTATTGATAAAATTTAAAACATCGATCAGAAATTAACGATATAGCACATACTAAGTTGAAACTGAAATTTATTGGGTTAACCTATAGCTGTTGAAATTGGTAATTTGTATTTTTCCGTAATAAACCGTTTACCAACCAATCTAGTATTTAATATATTACCTATAATGAATTAAGATAGTACTAACATGTACCTATTCACGTTTATTTCATTTATGATTTAACGATTTGAAAACAATAATTGTAAGATTATTTTATTACTGCATAAAGTTTATTGTTTATTTATAAAAAATATAACAGTATCTAATAATACACATATCGATTATATGACTATGAAATTTAATTTATGTAAGAACTTAGAAGTGTCAGTAAAAATATTCGAGTAATAGTTTGGAAGGAGCTAGGCCGTATCTGGGAGGGTTAAGAGTTTTAGTTGCATTATGTAATAATTAGAAAATACATATTTTTAACACAGTTAAAACATCACAATATTTGTATTCCGTCTCCCAAAACTATGTTATAGTTAAGGCCTTTGAAAAGTAGTGTGGGGGTGAAATTCCCCACGTTTCCTCATTTAGGTTTTTAACTTATCTATTGATCAAATTACGACTATATCACTGTTGATAATGTGAAATATTGTATGTAGAAAATGTAAAGTGCAATGGGGGGTGTGGGGGGCGGAGCCCCCCACGTTATTCTCTATTCATTATATAGGCGTATACCCATAAACATTTTTAGGACTACACCACTGCATTTATGTCACTTCAATTTTGTATATTCAATTACTTCTATTTGTCGCTCTTACTACTTAGCTCGTTTGATATCAGTATTAATTTTCTCAAATTTCTGTCCATCGAATTCAAAATAATCAATGAATTTGTCACCAATTTATTATTTAGTTTTCAATTTAGTACTCTACAATTGTTTTCTTGTAGTATATTAGTTATCGGATTTTATCATTACACATTTTCGGTCGCATATTTCTACTTGTCTATGTATAAATATGTAAATAAGGTACGAAGTACCGGTCCAAAAATTGTTATCGATCAATCATTTACTTAATTAAATAGTTGTATATTTTATAAGCTATTTAAAATATTTAAATTAGTAATATTATAAGGGACGATGGGGGATCTTAAACATATTTAACTATTTATAAATTAGTACTACATTAATTATCAAAGCCAAAAAAAAATATTTTTAATATTATTATATTAGGAGAAATTTAGTGGTCAATAATAAATTAATCACTCTGTAAATCTATTTAAATAACATTGTAACGTCACAAATTCAAAATTCTCAATATATTCTAAGAAAACGAGTGTTTTATTCTTAATCGATAATTATGTATTAAATAAAGTTAAGCAAATATAAAATTTGTATTTATTTATCACAAGTAAATAAAAAAAAAAAATTAATTTTAGTATTAAAGATATTTACACATGGAAATAATAAACCCCCCTGTGCTAGGTTTTTTTTTAACTATATTTATTAAAATATTTGTTTTATACAAAGATAACAATTTTTTAAAGAAAATAACTAACTGTTATTGTGAAAGTAACAATAACATTTTGTAACAGTTATCAGTGGCGGCTCGTGGTGGGGGTTTGAATTATTATTATAAATTATTTATGTATCTTTAAATACAAATTATACTGTGTTGTATGTCTAAAAATTATTTAATTTGAAATTGTTTTTAAAATATTGTATATTTATGTTTGATATTATTTTTAACTATATTATAAATATTTAACTTGATGTTGTCATCCTGTTATCTAGCGATTTTCTACTATTTTTCAAAATTCACCCTACCAATTTTAAAAATCAACTACTAGATCTTATAAGCTTTATTTGCTTAATAAAAATTTAAATAGTATTTTAAATATATGGATTCTTTATATAAATTGCAAAATTGTAAAACTACTTAATATCATAAATAAACTAAATATTATTTATTTATAATTAAATAATTATTTTTCAAGGAGGTTTACATAACAAAAAACCACGATAAGTATTATTTGAACGGAGACTTGGGTAATGCTCATAATGTCTAGATAAAGGATATTTTGGTCGATTTCGTTTTAAAACCTAACAACACGACCTTGTCCAGTACATTTTATCTTAGTTCGTGCAGTAGGCAAATTGATTGTGATTAGTTAATTAATATTTTAAAACAATATTACGATAATATATAATAGATATATTATATTTAAAAAAAATAAATATTTTGATATTAATAAAATAGTTAATTAATTATTATATACTTAGCTCCGCCCCAGACCCGGAGCTCTATGAGCCTTACTCGCCTTCGGCGCATAAGCCTCTTCGGGCAGTCATCATAAGTAGGCCACTGATTCCGGTAGGGGTACGCCGGGCACGATAAGTGTTTTGCAGAAAAAATATTACATCAGAATCAGTGTAACAAAAATATTAAAAATGTTATTATTAAAATCAGAAAAATTCAAAAAGAGAATATAGTAAAATGTATTGGGTATAAGGTTGACGTTTGTTAATAAGGTATTCCCTTTAGGCCTATTTAAAAATTATTTTAGGAGGGTATTTAATATTTTTTACTTTGTTGAACATGTTATAGAATTTTTTTTGCTAAACATTAAAGTAATGATGAAAAAAAAGGACATTAGGTTCTTATTTATTAAAAGTTGCCTAAAAAAATATTGATAGTGCTGGTTCAAGGGGGTCCCATATCTCCCTTAAATACACCCCTGGTATACACAAAAATTATTAATATTCTAATTATAAAAATTGTGCTTATATTATAGAATAATTTAAAAAAAATTCAACAGGTTATTATACGTGGGACTATGTAAAAAATTTAATTTCGCTAAAAATATTGGTAACTGCGATTTAACGTTGGACAGCATAGTTGTCATAGATGAATCCTAATTTAAACGATAAACTCATAGACTCCATCATATATGAGAAAAAAAAGATTATTAATATTGTACTGTTCTGATAATGAAAGTACAAACTTAATAATTATAACCGTCTTCAAATTTATATATAACATATAATATTCCTCGATAAAATATAGTGCTATGTGCAAATGCAAAATAGTGTCCTAATAAAACTACGTATTACACCATATAATTAAGGTTCATAATAAACGTATGAGCAGAAATGAATCAATGAGCATATTAAAACCATGCGCGTGGACTTAAAAAAAAAAAAAAAGCTCGTAAAACGGTGAAAAATGAACGGATTGAATTGATTTTTTTATCATATCTCAGGAATGTCATTGGGTGGGTCTAATGAAAATTTCAAACCTTAAGTCATAAAACGCTGGCGTCAGCGAGCGTTTTTCTTGAAAACGGTCGAAATTTTAAAACGCTCGTGGGTGAGCGGCAAAAAATGTCCGTCCTTCGCCAATAATTTTCCTGGGGTCTGATGACCGAGTACTTTCGTTGAAAAAAAAAATTTTGAAAATCCGAGCGCGCTAAGTAACTTTTCCAGAAAAGCGTTTTTTTTCTTGTTCTATTATATAATAAGATAAAAAAAATAAACGTTATAAAGTAATATTTATTCGTCTGCACAAATGTGTAAATTAAGTAGAAAAAGTTCTATTTTATACACGTATGATTCAAATTTTGAATCCCCTTTCTGCCTGTGGGTAGATAAAGACTAAGATTTTCAAAAAATATATATTTAATATAAGGGAAATATCTAAGGTATTTATAAAATTATATTTTTTTGGATTCATCCATCTTTCAAAAAGTTGTGAAATTTCCATGTAAAAAAAGTTAAAATTTACAGATTTTTGAAATTTTCCTCATAATGAACGAGGAAATTTTTTTAAATTTTGAGAATAATGTCTTCAACTAAATACAATTTAAGATTTTTGACGTATCTTTAGACGAAATTGGTTCTGTAGGAGCTGAGAACTTGAGCTAATAGAAACAAAAAAAAAACGTATAGTAATTAAGTTAATACTTAATTATTAGCTTCGCATCAAAACTAAAAAGTAACATAAAATATTCATTGTATGAAGAAATTATAGATGTCAAGAACTTCAATTTTATATTATACATATATATAGATTTATGTTTCATATTGTAGTTCTAAACCGAAATTATTGATTATAATTTTTATTTACAAAATATTCTCTTAAAAAATTATAAAGATGGGATTTTGATATTTTATATGTTTACACCTCATTAATTAGAAGCCATTTTACAGATTTCATGAGTTGTTTTTAATATTTAGTGTTAGCTAGTGTCCAAGATTAAGCATTGGTGCAAACAAGGAAATATTTTTTCCTTATAATTTTATAAAATTGTAACTAAAGTTTTAGGTCAATAATTAACTAAACATCTCGACATTTGTAAAAAATAGTTCCATATTTGTGGGGTTACATATGTGTTTATGGGGGTTATAGTCATCATGCAAACTATCTGACCTTAAAAATTAGTTTATGTAACGTGATTCTTATACCCCAACATTTTTAATTCTGCAATACTAGTCCTCATTCATTTCCTTTAAATAATACATACTCCCCTTTAAGGCGATAGATCTATATTGTTCATTTATTATAATATTTTTATTTTAATAATTATTTTGTGGTAGCATCTTAAAAAAAAATACCGAATAAAACTGTTAAATTTTGACAAGGAGGGTGTAACCTTCACGTCATCATTTCAGTCCGTCCTGTTAGAACACTTAGATCACTCACTAATTTAGTTCCTATCCTAGTTTAGTCATGGTGTCTCATTACATTATATACAGGAAAACAAAATTTCTGAATATTTATATAAATTAATTCTTAGTATATTCTATTTATAAATTTTCTCAGAATTAAAATCTATCCAATAAAAAAACAATATTGTTCTTTAAAGATTTTATTTTATTCGAATAAAAGATTAGGAGAAAATGGAGCATAAAAAATTATTGTTCAAGCATTCTTTTAGAACATTTAGTTATCATTTTTTCTAGTCACAACGATTTTTTTTCACACGTGCTTAAATTAGTGATGGACATAATCGAGATATCTCGATTATGAAAATAATCGAGATATTTCGATTATTGAAATCATATCAATTATATAATCGAGATATTCTGATTTTTTAAATAATATTGATTATTCTATAATCGAGTGATTATTTCTAATGATTTCTCGTTTATTATAAAAACAATGATTTCTTGATCTTAAAATGTATATAATCGAATAAAAGTTATTTCGAATGATGTCCATGAAACGATGAAACGAGAGAATACTATTTTTAAGTTTTTATTTAGCATAAATTATAGTCAAATTATTATTAAATTGTTGACTTCGAGACTTCTTATTTTCAACTCGTTCAATCGCTACTCATGGCAACATCTTATCTGTCACATTTTTGGGAAGTATGTGACGATTAGAACAAAGTTTTGTCCTGAACTGGCTAAACTACTGAGTTCTGATTCTCTCACTAGTTGTGAATTTATGAAAAATCAATTAGGTGTTTTAATTATGATGGTCAAGCCGGCTATTGCTACCTTATCTTATGTTTTTATTTTTAAATTTGTTATCGGTTTTTTTTCGTCATTTCTACAGTCTAACTCGGTTATATAAATAAATACAGACAATGCGATGTATGTTTATAAATGAGACAATATACATATTTATTATTTTTATTAAAAATAATACTTTTATTCATAGTTGCGTTTATAACAATAAATTTAATAATTTATAACAATAAACATTGCTACCACAAATCACTATTTTACTGTTAAATTTTAAGAGGGAAGTGTTGACGATTTTTGACTGTATTTTCCAAGTATAATTTTAAACAATCTTGCAAGTCATAAACAGTTAGCACCCAGTTTGACACTCGTATATTTTTCGATAATTTAAAAAGTATTGCGAAATATTTTCTCAATTTATTTAAATATGAGACCGGGCTGTAAACAACGTTCCGTTGTATGGGATCATTTTAAAAAACATACTGACGGTAAAACTGTTACGTGTCAAATATGTAAAAAGGATTATAAATATTACGGAAACACGACAAACTTAAAAGGTTGGTACTTAAAAATTATAATCTTTTAATAAGGGTTTCCAGAACTTTTAAATTAGGTATAAGGAATTATCTATTTGTTTTCCCTTTCCCTTTGGATTTATTTCAATCAGCATAATTTATTAATTTTAATAACTGCATTTCACATATTTTATCAAAAATTCCTTTCCTCGTCCCGTAATTTGCGTTTTTTTGAAAATAAGACTATATATGAATTTTAAAATATTAAGGTAATAAATACTAATTTCACAATTTTTGTATCTTTTTAAATTTATAATAGAACATTTAAATCGAATACACCCAACCAAACTCAATCCGATCACTCATAATGAAGATGATCCAGATAACCAATTAATACAGACTACCGAAAATACATTTAGTCCCTCAACTTCAGCAATTTCTTCTAATTTATCATTTCAACATTTAATTTCATCGCAATTTTCTGAGCCACCATCAAAACGGCCTCGCCAACTAAAACTTTTTAATTCGACAAAAGTAAATGAACTTAGTGATTCTGATATTAAGGCTATTAATAAATCTTTAATTAACATGATTGTCGCTGATTATCAACCACTCTCGTTAGTAGAAAACGTTGGATTTATTGAGTATAGTAAAAAATTGCAACCACTTTATTCTATCCCTAGTAGAAAAATATTAACTTCGAAATTATTGCCACAAGAATATAATGTTATACTTCTTAAAATAAAATCTATTCTTCAAAATGTAAATGATTTATCTATAACAACAGATATGTGGACATCCGATTCCAATATATCATATATAACAGTGACGTGCCATTTTATTTTTGACGACCAATTATATTCACCAGTAATTGCAACTAAAGACGTTTTTGACAGACACACTGGTCAAAATATAGCCGCTACACTTACAAATATTTTTAATGAGTGGAATATAACAAATAAAATAATAACTGTGGTATCAGATAATGGGTCAAATATTAAAAATGCAATAAACGAACACCTTCTTAAACACCATCATCCATGTGTAGCACACACACTTAACTTGAGTATGAATGAGGCAATAAATGGAAACTCTGATATAAATCAAATTTTAAAAAAATATAGGACGATAGTAGAGCATTTTAAGCACAGCAGCAACGCTACAGAAAAACTCAAAGATTTTCAATTACAAATGAACTTACCTCCATTAAAAGTTAAGCAAGATGTGCCCACTAGGTGGAATTCTAGTTTAATAATGATGGATAGACTTGTAAACATTAAAGTCCCTCTATCTGCAACTATGTCAACTTTACCTCGTGCTCCAAATTATTTAAATGCGTCAGAGTGGGAGATAATATTAGATTGTACTCATATTTTAAAGCCATTTCCAATTATGACAGCGGAATTATCAGGCGAAAAGTATCCAACATTAAGCGTGGTAATACCACTTATTAGAGGTCTTCAACATATTTTAAAAAACTTGAAAACAGAAACTGATATTGGGGATGTATTTAGAAATATGTTGATGGATATAGTTAGTAGACGGTTGGGAATTTTAGAAAAAAATAAAATTGTTGCAAAAGCAACATTCTTAGACCCACGGTTTAAAAAAACTGCGTTTGGTTTACTTGAAAATGCTAGTAATGCTCAAAAATGGGTAAGCGAAGAATTGACAATGATGATTAGTACAAATACTGTAATGGAAAATGAAATGAGTACAGCTGAATCTACTATAGAACCCGCGTTAAATAGCACTAATAATACAACAACATCACTATGGGAGCATTTTGATAATAAAGTCACTGAAGGCAAAATTACATCGAGTCCAAATATAACTTCCACTTTAATAATACGTCAATATTTAGATATGCCACTTAACAGGTAGATTTTTTTATAATTCAGAATTTACAGTATTTTAGACCAACAGATTAATTCAAAATATAGGTAATAATTATTAAATAAAAAAAATAACAACTTGTCTTTTATTTAAAGCACTTATTAATAATGCATTATTAATATATTATTGTTATTATTATTCCTAAATTATAGTTTAATATAATAATTATAAATAAACACAAACAAATAAAAAAAGCAAAATTAAATTAATAATTATTTACTATAGGTATATTTATTCATATTTCGAATAATTTTTCGATTCTCTCGATAAATAATAATAGTTGATTATTCTTATCATACGAGCAGACGATTTTAACTTCGAGTGATTTTTCGAGAGATTCACTCGATTATGAAAATGTCTCGATTACTAATCATTCGATTATCGAAATCATTCGATTATGCCCATCACTAGTTTAAATACAAATAATTGTCTAATAATTTCGTATTGCAACCCAGATCCAAGAAGTTTAATGGTTTCTCCTTATCTATTGTAATGTTTTCATTTAGTATGTGACGTCACGCTATATTATGGTAATGGTTTGCAATACTTGTTTCGTCATAATAGATATAAACAGCTGCTATCGATTGCCTTAGATCTTGATACCTAAATAAATATCAAATATAGAATCCTCTGAATTTTAAATTGTACAATCATTTATTTTGCTTACTTATTAAAGACTTCACAAATAACTTAGTGAATTGTAATATTTTATTAAGTTTTATGAGATTGTTTTTAGATCTGGAGTCATGATTGTTAAGAAACTCGTGCATATTTCTGAAATTTAATTGTGTATTGAAAGTTGTGTAAGATGGCCGATTTAAAATCATTGGAACATCCAACATTAAAGGTAATTAGTTGTTATAAATTTATTATCTTACATTTATCAAATTACTTTTAATTATTGTGTAATGATACAAATAACTCAATTATAATAGGTATTAGATTATCTAGCTCAGCCATTAACGTGTTGTTTTTTGGTGTGTAGGTATTGGGATTCAATTCCATTGTGCTAGGTAATAGTTTTTTTAAAGAACGTTAAATATACAAGAAGAAATTGTTATTTTTTTCTTCCAAAATTTATTTCAATTTTGATAAAATATCTTTTTTAAGACTTTCCTCCTAAACTTTGTCCACTGAAAAATGAAAAAATTTTTCATAAGTTATTTTTCACAATATTCAATATTTAATATTTTACATTTCATACATCTTCATTTGATGTGTAACTTTTATCATTATACATATAATTTTTTTATTTTTATTAGTTATCATGTATATTCACTAAAATTCATAGAAAAAATTATTTAATCATTGTATTTAATTTTGTTCATTATATATTTTAGGTTCCTTACGAGGTTCTCAATAAAAAATTTCGTACAACTCAGAAAATACTTGATAGAGAAGTTTCTCACTTTCAAAATGCTGTTCAAGAATTTGAACGTGATTTATCATCAGATGTGTCAATGACAGATACTACTCGTATTACTAATTTACTTTCTGGCATGGTAGAAAAACTCAAAGTGTTAAAAAGAAAGGTTTAATGAAACTTAATATTTTCATATGTTTGATTTCGTACAGAGTATTTATTATTTATTATTTTTAATAGGCTGATGAAGGTATAAGTGATGAATTACAAGCTGGAATGGTATGTAAAAAGCGTTTAGAACATTTAAAAGAACACAGTTCTCCATGTGAAGCAATTGTACAAAATTGGCGTCGGCGTCGCTTAGATCGTATGTTAGTAGAATATTTCTTGAGATGTGGATATTATAATTCTGCAAACAAATTAGCCAATTTCTCTGATCTCAATGATCTAACTAATATTGGTATGTACAAATAATTTTCGTAATCCTTTGATAGTTCACCTAATGATATATTTCTAGACTTATTTATGATATCAAGAGAAGTCGAACTCTCATTAGCAAATCATGAAACAAACAAATGTTTAGCATGGTGTCATGATAATCGTTCAAAGTTACGTAAATTACATTCTACAATGGAGTTTAATTTAAGAATACAGGAGTTCATTGAATTAGTTCGTCAAGATAAACGTCTTGATGCTGTAAAGTGAGTAATAAAATAAATTTAAGTTAACATTATTTAACAAATATTTAATTTTTTTTTTTAACAGACATGCAAGAAAATATATTTCAACGTTTGAAGATACAAGAATGGATGAAGTACAACAATGCATGGTACTTTTAGCCTTTCCTGTAGATACAGGTAACATATAAAACATTGCTATTATAAATTAAATTTTTTTTTTGATAAATTATACTATTTGCTAGGTATTAGAATATTATAGGTCTTTATAGTCAAAATTATTGCAATGAAAAAATCGTCTTACTTAAGTTTATAGTTGTTAAGTTTGTAGCTAATTTTTTTAAAAAAATCAAATGATTTAAAAACAATTTTTAAGGCTCTGAAATAAACTAAAGAGTAGTTCATAGAATTTATGTAAAACACATTTTATTTAACTAAAATTTAGTCTATTTAACTTCCATAAGCTATCAATTTCTATAGTTAAGTTTATAGGTTTATAGTTTACTAAAACCTTTAAACTTTTACAAAAAAAATGAAAAAAGATTTATTATGATTATAATGTAGCCATATCCTTGGAAATTAATCTAACCTACTAATTTTTTTTATTTAATTTGAGAATAAAAGAATTTTTTGAACAATTTTTAGTCTAGTACATTATGCGTTATACATATAAACCAGTACAAACAATGCTCAACTTCACTTCATACTTTTTCTATGTATTGAAATTCTTGTAACTCAATGAGTACCTGTCATAAAATGTTATCAACTCATCAAAATTTTTTGTTAAAAAAATTACTACTTTATTTTATTAGAAACAAATAATAAAAAATATGCTTTAAATGTTGTTCAAAACTGTATAAATTACTAAAAAAGTAAAGTTTCCTAAAGTTGTTATCATTATTTTTTTTATTAAAAATGGCTTTTTTCAGTTTTTGAAAAAATAAAAATATGTATTTTATAATTTTTTTTATTAGTGATAAATAATAAAAAACCCAGCACAGGGGGGTCGCGGCACAGTTGAGTCGTGGCATAGTTAGGTCAAGTATAATGATATCTGACAGTGATTAAAATCACTATCATAAAAGACACTTCGATTCAAATCTGTAGATTGTGTTTAATTTAAAAAATTGGTGGATTATTTCAAAAGATACATGATCTGCTATTTCCTTATTTATATTCTGATTAAAATATAGTATGTCAAATAAAACAGGGATATAAATATTATTTCTCATAAAAAAATTGTATTAACCCATACATTTTTCAATAAGTTATAGTATTATAAAGTTAAAAATGTAAAATATAAAATCGAGAATTTTCACACAAAAATAGCATTTTGTATTTCTATTTTCACCGTGAAGACAAAATAAAGTCCGAAATTTGTTTTTTTCATGATAAAGTATAATACATTAGCTTTAATTTAAGGTTTATATAAAAGTGTTAGCTTTCCCGAACACTTTTAACAGTTCAGTTGAAAAACTTAATTTTTTGTGAAGAAGTTGTCATTTTAAATCCCCTCTGTGGGCAGGTTAAGGGTCAGATTTATAAAAAAAATATACCAAATGAAAGGTAAAAACATCATGCATCTATAACAAAAAAATTACATTGATTTGGTCATTTTTAAAAAAGTTATGGCAGTAAAAAAAATTTCAAAAATTAGCGATTTTTAAATTTGTAATTTTTTTTGGATATTTTCCCCATTTATGGGAACGAGGGAAATTTTTTTAATTTTTGAGGGTAATTTCTTCGACTAGATACAATTTCTGATATTTTGACATATCGTTGAAAGAAATCGGTTCGGTGAGAGATGAGAAAAAGTGGTAAAAGATACAATAATAAAAAAAAAAACACATCATAGTAAAACTAATACCTTCTCAGCTTCACATCAAAACTAAAAACTGAAAAACATGCTTTTAAAGCATATCTAACTAAAAAGTTAAAAATAATTTAAAAAAAAATTATTGGAACAAAAGTTATCATATGATTTATCAGTTAAATCTGCTTTACTCTGTTTAATTTGATAAAAATTATCATATACAACATTTATTTATTTAGATAATAATAGGTAAATTAAGTTATTATATATCACTGAATGAATACAATAATTAAGTATAAAACTTTTTTTAAATTATGAATTATACAAGCTATGTATTGGTAGCATGTATAATTTTATGACATTAAAAATAATAAAATATGTTTTTGAGAACTGAATAATTATGAAGAAATAATAAAAATTACTATTTGAATAAGGTCAGAGATAACTTTGTGTATTTACACTCCTGGGCAATATTATAAATACAACTTTTATGTTTTTTGATAACCTAAGAATGAAAAAATTTTTAACTAGGCAATTGTTTAGATGGTTCCTCTTCCAGGTGTCCCTAAGTTATCTATTAAAATTTTAATGTAATAATATTTTATATTTTTTATTTTAGAAATATCACCTTATAGAGAAATGTTTGATGAATCCCGTTGGCAACGATTAATTGAACAATTCCGACAAGAAAATTATAATTTATATCAACTGTCTTCTCAATCTGTGTTTACAGTTGCTTTACAAGCAGGGTTGTCTGCTCTCAAAACACCATATCCTTTTAAAAAAATTTTAAAGTTAATATCTAATGCATTAAACTTATTAGGTTTGAACTTAAGTTTTCTATTTATTAACTTAAACAAAATTGTTTTTTTTTTGACCAATTTTATTGTAACTTAATATTTTAAATAGTTTAATTTAACAATATATATAATGATATATTATTTAAGGTTTATAATAAATATTCATAGAATACAACTTTTAATGCTATGTTAGATTAATATCAAATCAAACCTTATTAAATCTTGCTATTTAGGTATTTAAATTAAAAATGTTTGTTTAGGAGAGTTAATAATTTAATTATCCTAATGACTCTTTTTCATTATTTTAGCATTATATTTATTGATTATTCTTTTATAATTTATAAAATAAATGTTATTTAGCTACTTAGAAGAAATGTTTGCATCACTAAAAATTTGACTTAATTTAAGAATACTCAGTGTTACAGTGAACAAAAAGAAGCTCGCAATGCAAGTTGTCCTGTATGTCAAGAATGGTTCAATACATTAGCAAAGCCATTACCATTTGCACATTGTAGCCAATCACGTTTATTCTGTTCTATTTCAGGACTCCCTTTAAATGAACATAATACTCCTATGGTATTACCTAATGGTTATGTTTATGGTGAACAGGTAATATTTTACTAAATAATTAAGTGAGTTGATTTTGATAAAGCAATTGAAATTAAAATTCTAATTCAATTTTAGGCTTTAGTTGAAATGGCAAATCAAAATAATGGACAAATAATATGTCCAAAAACTAAAGAATTATACTGGTTAAAACAAGCAGAAAAGGTTTATGTAATGTGAAAATAAATGATAGTACTGTTTAATTTTACTATGTGCCATAAATATCTACTCCAAACTTTAAAAAAAATCATTCGCAAAACAGTAATTTGGCATTTTATTTATTGCATATAATATTATATTACATTATAATCTATAATTAATTATATATATATTTTTTTTTAATGACAATTTTGTGGAATTTTCTGTTATTGTATTTTTAACATTAAAAACCACTATCTTTTCAATTTAATTAATTTTTATGTATTACTTTAAAAATAATAAATGTAAAAAAATGTATAGTATTTATTAGCTATATAAAATAAATAGAACACAAATATTTTTACATTTTTTTTTATTTATATGAATACTTTAATCGAATGATTAAAGCAAGTGTACTACTAATTTTATTATAAAATGGCTTAAGTTATAAAAGAGTTTTACTATTACAATTACGAGTATCATTACATTCTAGATTATATTAATTTATTACTAGTATTATCAATTAATTGAGTTATTTAACTTATTTCATTTCATTAAATTATATTTGTGTTAAAATGTCAACATAGTTTCTTATATTACTTAAAGTTAAAATATAAATTTAAAATGTATACTTTTTAAGGAATAATTCTTGGTATATAGTTCAAAATTATTTTATTTGGTGTTTTATTAAATAATCAAATAGGAATAGTACTCCATAGGTGAAGTGGGGATGTCTTTCTAAAATTTATAATAAAAGAATTATTTAATCAAGAAATCATTGGTTTTTGTTAACAGGAGTCTCCTAATTGTTAATTACATTGGTTCTATTATGTGATTTACATTTAAGTAAAAGTTAATATTTAGCAAAACAGTAAAAGCTAGTACATGTTAATATATGTTTATTAAAATTAATATTTTAATTATTTGAAGTTTACGTAATATTAATGAATAATGTTATCCATACATTTTTTCTACTAATAAAAGTCTCTATTTTTTGTCAAATAAACATAGATATGATAAGCCATAAAAATCTATGTACATGTACACATAGTACTTTCTTATTTATAAAATCACCAAAATTAAATAACTTAATATACTAAGTTACTTTTCACTATAAAATTCATATTTTAGCGGGATTGGAATTTAAATTTGGTAAAATGAGCGGTAAATCATTAGTGGTTTGTAGATAGCAGTACTATAGCATAGGCTATAAACGCAGTCATCGATGCTCAACGATGACTATCCGCCATTTTCCGGCGGCTGTTTGTGTTTGTCTCGCGCACACACAACAGTTTCGGCCGCCGTCTAGCCAACATAACCTGCCGCCGCCGCTATCGTCATCCGTTACGTCGGAGCACCATTCCAGTAATCATATCTGTATTGGTGAATGCGATTAGATTTTACTTAAAACTTTCAGTGTCGCTCAATACTCGTTGTGTTTAATGTGCGTACCGGTAAACGCCGTTGCCGTCCCGCAACCGTGAAACATCGGTTTTAGTATTTTCATATTATTCTCCGGCTAGTTCCAATGCTGTGTAAGTGTGCGCGCCATTTCTATATATTAATTGTGTGTGAACGTCAGTTTGGGAGTGGAAATCTGTATTGACCCATATAATCGACTTGTTACATACATATTCGAGGTTAAACAAAACGTTCGTAACCGTATTAATTCATTTTCATCATTAAATACCCGGTAAGTTAAATTTATTAGTTATTAATACAAGACCGATAATTACTTCGTACGTCAAGCCGCTTTATAGTTCTTACAATATCCTAATGTTATTATTATGTGCTTTCGATTTTCATTTATTTTTAGTACAAATAATTCAATACACTTTTTAATTTCGTTTATTTTGTTACAAAGAATGTTTGTATTTTGGTACCGGTCTTTTTTGTCGATATAAATGATTCTTCATTTGAACATGCATAATAACGATAGTTAGGTTTGTTTTATTTACTATTTTAATTGCATGTAGTAGATAATGCTTTGTGGTCTGGTTAAGATAATTGAAATAGTATTGTTTACATTCTTATAATAAATTAATTATATGAACAATGTGGTTAAAATACTTAATACGCCATCTATTAATTAATAAAATAAAAGTTTTTTTAAATAATTTTATTATTTAAGTGTTTTCAAGATCAAACACATGTTTTTAAATAATTTTATTGGTTTAAAATTCCTGGAGAGTGCTTGCTAATATAATAAGTGTTAAAAAAACTATTTCGACATGTGCTTTTGCTTCAAACCGGTATTATCCGAAACAATGCCATTTAACGATCAACAATTCCCAGAAAAAAAATGTTCAGTTTATTATCTTGATATATTTATATATACATTATATACTCGTGTGTAAATATACACAATTATATGGCAAAAAATATATGCAGGTCGATATAGTTGATGTGGGTTAGGTGTCCCTTCTTTGTCGTCGTTGTAGGTAGAAGGGCTACTAGTCAAGTTTTTTTCATATAACATATTGTCATACTTCTTGACAAGATGAGTAAAGTATAGTGTTCACAATACATGAACATTTTGTCTATTGCAATTTAATTATTATTTATAATCTGTATTATTTTGTTGTTTTTTTTAACTATTTAAAAATTTTGTCTACTTGTTGAGATTTTGCATATTCCTGGAATAATATATACTGCATATAATTAAGTGCAAGCATATATGCGTAAATTTAATTCATATATCGATTGAAAGACGCTGTTCGTGTCCATTATATCACGACGTGTGCTGTCACCGTTATAAACTTTTTTATTTAAAAAAAAAAGTTAACTTAATTTTAAAATTAGTTATTGTCTTTCCTCCTCAATTATCTATAACAGTAGTTGTTTTGGAGAAATATTTGAATCATTTATAGAACTAGTGTATTTATTTGTTTAATATTTAAGTTTTACTAGAATTAAAGTCTCGAATTTAAATTGTGAATTGAGTCGTAATAAACATGTAGGTGTACTCATCTATTTTGTTAATAATAGGTATCAAAACAGAAACTATTAATCACCAATAGGACTATTTTAAGAAATTCCAGATTTTTTTTAAGTTTCAAAATTACTTCAATAGCATTTTTTAAAACAAATATTGTTTAAAGAATCGTGTTTGAATAAAGTTTAGTTCTTTTGAACGAAATATTCTGAACTTTGTGTGTAATCCTAGAGTGCTATATTTTGAATCGGTTGCCATACAATAATTTTATTGTAGTTGCATTTATAGATTTTGTTTGATAATGATTATTAAAAGTACTGTTGTCAAGGCAAATATAAAAACCACAATTGGTGTCCGCCGGTAATTGAGGCACCATAAATGGAAGGGCGACGATGACAATGTGAAAAGAGCGCGTTCTAACTGGTCTGCATAACCGCGACGACGGTCTGTGTATCGCCGCCATCGTCTCATTCCAATAGGTGAGAGGGGGACTTGGCTGGACGCGTAACCGTCATCAGTCCGGCGGCCCACGTCTTTCAATTCGTACCCAGAAACGGGCACTGCCTTTCCCCCTCTCAATATTCTTATAGTACTCTCCCATCTAGCATTCACTTTCGTGATCAGCGTTACTTCTACCAAGCAACCTGTGTTCGTATTGCGTTTACATTTGTTAGCCTCACATGAGCAAACCGCCAATTAGAATAATTTCACCTTCGACGGTTATTTTATTCAAGTTCGCAACATATTACTTTGTTCTGTTAACAATTTAACATTGTAATGTAATGAATATATTATTTACGTCATAGACAAGTATCTAAAATAAATTTGCCTATAGTTAGTTGATTTAAGTGTTGTCATTAGTTGTGATTATTATGACCATCAAGTTTAAGACTGCAACAATAAAAAAAATATCTTTACATAAGTTCCTTTGAAATTCATATTTAACACTCTTTTTAAGAATAATTTTGGTAGTTTTCATTTGGATGTTCATAAGGGGGTGTTCTAAAATGTAGAATTCATAAATTTAGTTCTTATTTTTTTTACTTTTGCAATCTTGAAAGTCGGTTAAATGTAAGTTTTATTTTCTGTATGTTTATGAATTTTGTTAATTTTTTGAATTTAACAAATATTCACTTATACAATAAAAATTATTTTGTATTGTACATTCAAATTTATGGACATTACTTGGTTAGTTCAATGGCCAATATTTTATAAGGAATGAATCTATGTATAGGAAGTGTAGTTGGCATACAACTATGAATTTTCGACCTCGCTTATTTTGTTATTTAAATTTTTTATTGATTGTTGGCGTATTCGTTTTTGTAAATTTCATCTGGACGTGAATTATACATTTTTAACAATTGATTTTTGCATAGATATCAGTTCTTTTATGATCTGAAACGAATAATATTTCCCTGGGCGTTTATTTTATTTTACCCCAATTTGACAATACATGATCTCCATGTGTCCCCTTTGTCTACGATCAATAACATCTGTCATTTTAAATGTGTTATCCGGTATAACCGTATAGCAAGCAAATTATAATTAGGCTATTTGAATTTCAAAATCATAAACAATGTTTAATAATTACTTGAAGTTTCGGAATTGACCTTGATAAGTTTTATTATAAGAATGAATGAAATATACTATGGAGTTATATTATAATTTTTGCGTTTGACTTTTAACTATTCATATTTAAACGACATAATAAAAAATTGAATATTATAACTCGAATTGTTGCCACTCAAATTTTGTATGTTAAATACTTTGGTTTTAAATGATACTTTGATATGAACACCTTGACATTAGAATATCTGTACTTACTCAAATGAATAATTGGAAAAATTTATTCTGTTAAAGCAAAAAACACGATAATTGATTTCTTCTTTAAATTTTTATTGGTACGTTATTAAACATTTCATTGCCTTAAGCGTATGTATTACGAACCTGTTTGGTTATATTATAACGTCAGCGTAAGAATGTGTATTTATTGATATTTAAATGTACGTTGAATCGTATTTCTGTGTGGTGGTCATACAGTAACAACATACACGTTCTTAGTCGGCCATAACTAAGCTAATCGCGGTCACCGCATGAGCGACTATATTTGTCGGGCTATTTGTTTCGGTTACTGGCGGGCGGCAACGTTGTTGAAGCGCGTTATAACAAATCGGTAATTTAACGAAACAACACAGTGTGTTTGGCGTGGTATGCATGTAGGAATAATGATGGAGGTGTATAAGTAATCATGGCAGTGGTGATGTTGCAGTCGCCGCTATGGCTCGACAATGCCGTCAGGATGTTGTATTTTAGCGAAAAACGCTGTGGTGAAGCAGCAGCTGCCGCAGTCACTGTTGCTCTATAACCAATACGTAGGAATACGTGCCTTGTTTGTTGTATGCCAGCTGCTGTTTTTAACGTTCTTAGCATTTTATACCATTTTTAATTTTCATTTATTTGTTTGCACAAAAAGTGATTTGTTTATATTAGTCAATTCTAGAGATAAAAAAACGAAATGTATCGCGGTTCTCTTAACAGTGTGGAGTCAATGAAATTGCTGTAATATTTTTATGTTATTGATCACTTCTCCAGTCTTAATTAAGTTATGATACTCATTTAATAAACAAAAAATGTATTGCATATATTTTTCGTTTTGCTTATACATTTCTGTGTTAAGAGACTTCTTAATCGATGCTATTTTTTTTTTTTTAATTTGATTTTATACTTTTTATTAATACCGGAAATATTATTTTTTTCGTCGGCCAATTTATTAATCGGCATACTGCTCAAATGTGATTTTTTTCATAGTTTTAAAATTATAGTTTTTATTTGGTATTTCAATACATGTACGAATTATTATATTTACTGGTTGTTCGCTGTAGGCTTTAATATTATCTTTCACAATAAAATGTCACTATTCATTAACGCACTAAAAATTATTTAAGTAGTAATTGTAGTACAATCGAATGATTTTAACCCAACGTTATTGTCACATTTTTTAAAAAAGTACACAAAAAGTCAAGAAAAAAACATTTGTCATATTAAACGCACAGTTAAAAAGATATGATTTTATAATTTCTAAAAATCAACATTCCAAGCTTAATTTTTAGTGCGTTTAATATTTCTTTTAAAATGTTTTTTTTTTTAAAGCTTTTTGTGTATTTTTGCAGGAATTGTGGTATAATGTTGACGTTGTCGATTAGGAACAGAAGTAAATCTAAACGGACGCCTACTCCGAAAATAGACGAACTTTTAGAATCCATAGGCCTTATGAGACACGTAGTGCCTAGAGATGGAAGTAGTTTATTTAGATGTATTTCGCAGTGTGTGTTCCTTACTCAGAGTTGTCATATGACCGTCAGACAAAATCTTCTATTGTTTTCTAAACTGCAGATTAAAGAGTTCAGTAAAATGACACAAATGTCTCCTAGTAAGTATGCTAAGAAAATTATAGACACAAAAGTAGATGGTGAGTTACTTGATATGCGAATCGCTGCAAAGTTTTACCGAATTAACATTGCGTTCTACTTAGACGCTCAACCTTTCGTACCATTAATAGTTGAGACACCAGATGCAGTTAAAACATTAAGTATATGTTTGAATTATGAAGGCACCTACGATTTAGTTTTAACTAAAGAATCTGTGGAAAACATATCAGTTTGTCAATCTATTATGTATGAAATGCTGTACAAAAATGTGTTCAATTTATCCAGCGTAGATTTTGCAGTTAAGGAAATGTTGTTTGAACGAAAATATCC